TACAATTATTAAAATATAGATGGCAGTGATGATTGTTATCTACCTACCAACCTACCCTCACCCTTCGAAAAAAAAATTTTTTTTATTTTATTTTTATTTTTCCTTTTCGAAAAATGAGAGTTAGGGGGCTGGGGGTGAAGCAAAGCGGGGGGGGGGGTAAAAGAAAAATGGGAAATGACATTTAGCTTATTGTCTTTCCTTATTATCATTATTATTATTTTGTTTTTTTACATATCGTTTTGAAAAAAAAAAAACGAAAACACCAATCAATAAACGGATTTATTAAAAATGATGATGATGATGATGATAATACTAAAACGAGGAAAGAAAAACTTTTGAATTTTCTTATTATTATTATTATTATTATTATTATTATTATTATTATTTTGTCGTAATAATATTCAGTTCGCGTCATTAATTTCCTGGTGAACGACGACAGAATAATGCGATCAAATCGTTCAACCATCACAATTTAAAAATAAAACTGAAAATAATTTTTTTTTTCTTTTTTTTTTTCTTTTCTCTTAATACCTTTCGTCCGAAAAGAATAAAAGAGAAAGAGAGAGAGAGAAAGAGAGAAAATTTTCAGATTTGTTTAACCGCCATTTTTTTTTTTTTCACTACAGCCACGTTTAAAACGTTTTTGCGCGAAAAATATTCGCGAACGAATGTGACGTCAACATATTTTAAAAATATTTGTTATTTAAAATTTTAACGGAAACTTGTCGAAAAGTTTTAGTTTTTCGAAGGGAAAACAACAACAACAAACACGAAATGGGGGATTCGGGGGGGGGGAGGTAAGGGAAAAAAATAAAACAAGGAAGAAGAAGAAAAAAAATTAAAAAAAAACAAAACAAAAAAAAAAAAAAAATTCTCCAGAGTTTAAATTAGTCATCCAAAATCGATAAACTCGACGAATCACGGGATGGGGAGATGGGGAGGGGAAGGGGGGAGGAGTTAGGGTGAGAGTAAAAAAAACGCGTCACCATATTCCTTTTGGGAAATTTCATTTAAAAAAAAAAAAATTTATATTTGAAAAGAAGATGATGGGCCAAGAAACGAAAAAGGAAAAAAAAATAATAATAAAAAAAATTTTTTTCAACCCCTAAAATAGGGGATGATGACGAAATGGGGGCGCGCAAAAAAAAAAAGAAAAAAAAGGATCGAAAAACCCCCCACCCCCGTCCGCCCTCCCGCCCGGCCTCGAGCTTAAAAATAATTTTTTTTTTTTTTTACTTTTTTTTTTTTTTTTCGTTGAATAATATTAATAATTCGTAAGCTAAACATAGTTTATGACTTTTTTTTTAAAAAAAATATTCATTACCAGTCATTTATAAAAATTCAATATGGCGTCAAAAAAAAAAAGAAGAAGGAGTGAGAGAGAGAGAGTGAGAGAGAGGAGGGAGAAGGAGAGAGAGAAAGAAAAAAAAATTGATGTGAAATTTTTTTTCTTTTTTTTTAATCGTAAGAAAATTACGTTTCGCATAAGATAAACAGGAGCCGATATGTTTTTTTTAAATTTTTCTTTTTTTCTTTTTTACTCTCCCCGTTTGTTTTTTTTGTTTTTTTTTTTCGAAAAGAAGGAAGAAGAAAAAAAAAAGTTTGCATTTACATTATTTTTAATTTTGTAATTACGACAAAAAAAATTCCGGAATGAAAACAAATAATAATAATAATATTCATATAAAATAATAATGATAATGATAATAATTATAAATGATTATTATTATATTATACGATGTGATACTCATTAATAAAATTATAGGATTAATCATGATGATGATGATTATTATTATTATTAAAGGAAGAGAGAGAAAGAGAGAGAGAGAAAATTTCCCACGAATTTTCCAGATGATTTTCGTATTAATTTCGAAACGATGAAATTTTTTTATTATTTTGGCAACAACCTGTGGAATTCTCGTGTTAGAAATGAGGGAAAAAACTGGAAAATTTTTTCTCTCTGAAAAAACTTCTTTTTCTAGCAAATAAAAAAAAAATTACTTAATAATAATGATAATAATTGGTGAGTGAGTGCGTGCGTGTGCGTGCGTGACGATTCGTTATGGGGAGAGAAGTGAAAACTGGAAACGGTTTCGTTAATTAATTTTTTAAAAAAAATTTAAAAATTGACCGTTAAAAAAAAAAAAATCGATAATATTTATCGAGTTTATAGAATTCGAAATCATCCCCCAAATTCCTTCCTCCCCCTGCTCATCCCTCCCCCTGGATAAAGTTTGCAACCCTTTAAAAAAAAAAAAAAAGGACTTTAAATTCGTGAGTCTGATTCTGATGTTACTGCTGCCTGCCCGTTTTTCATCTCATTCCTTTTCTCCCTCTTTTTTTTTTTTTTCGTTTCGTACGGTACCCCCTACCCCTCCCTACCTTTCCCATTTCTCTCTCGCTTTTTTTTTCCACTTCTCTCCCTCTCTCTTTTACTTATTCCCAAATTTACCTCTTAATTTTTTTTTTTTTTGAAAATCTCCCCCTTTTCCGTTTTTTTTTTCATTCCTCTTCTCTTCCTCTTCCTACTCCTCCTCCACACCTCGTCTTTTCCTCATCATCATCACCGTCGTAGTCGTCGTCATCATCCCCTTTCAATTCCTTTCTTTCCTTTTTCCCCTCTTCTCCTTCCTCTACTTCACTCGAATGCAAATTTTTAATTTAAAAAAATTTCTCATCCTTTTGGCGTCCGACTATTTCTCATTCCCTTAAGACCTTCCCCCCTTCCTCCCTTCTTCTCTTTTCTTTTTTCATCCTCTTCCCCCCTCTCTCTCACTCTCACTCTGTTTTCATTTCGCTTTAACCCTTCCTGTTGGAAAAAATAAAAAATAAAAAAATTTATTAAAGTGTCTGTCAATGCCTCCTTTCGGCCATTTCAAAAGTTAGTAAAAAAAGAAAAAAATTCACAAACCTTATGGAATTTTCCTTTTTTAAAAAGAAATGAAATTCTTAATACGGCACTGAAATTTTACTTAGTTTTATCATATTTCTCTTTATTAAATTTATTCGTCGTGCGAATAGAAAAATTAATAATAAATATTTTTTTTTTTTTTTTGCGTTTTCGATTTTAACATTCGAATTAATTTTTTTTTTATCGTTCTCTCTCTCTCTCTCTCTCACTCTTTCTTTCTCACTCGTATTGTTTTATCTCGATTTGATTTTTTAACGGGGAGGGAGTTTTTCCGAATAAATTTCGAAAGAAGAAAAATGAAATAATAAAAAAAAATAAAAAATTCTAGAATCTCATCCAGAATAAAAAAAAATTTTAAAAAATCGTAAAAGGCACGCAGACCTCTTATTTTTCTAAAGTCCTCACCTTTGTCTATTTCCACGTTCAACCCTAACCGATTCTCATCGGTTTGTTCCCTCTCTCGAACGGGAAAAAAAAAAAAAAAAAAAAACTTCGAAAACGAGTTTTAAAAAAAAAAAGGAAAAAAATTATAAAAAGAATGGGTCACTTAAATTTTTTCATCGGGAGTGTCAATCATTTTGTAATGAAAATAAAAAAAAAAAAAAAAAGGAAAGAAAGAAAAAAAAAAATTAAAAAAATTTCGAACGATGGGAGGGGAGGGGGAAGGAGGAGGGGGAAGGAGGAGGGGATGGAAAAAAGGGAAATTTTTCCCTTTTCCCTTTTTTCTTCCCTTCTCCGGTTCCGAAGTCATTTTTTTTTTTTTCCATTTGGAAACGTAAGAAAAGATTTTAATTACTTTAGGCGCGAATTAAAAAAACCGTTTTCTTACGTTAATTTTTCTTTTTTTTTTTTTTTTTAATTTTTTTAATTTTTTTTTTTTTTCCATTTTCAATACAACCTGTTATTTTCATTAAATCGGAATTATAAAAAGACATTGTTTTCATTTTTATTATTTATGTTGAAAATTATTTTTTTTACATTTGAACAAAAAAAAATAAAAAAATAAACCTAAGGGAGATGATGATGGTATCGAATTTTCCTCTACCTTTCTTTTTCTTCTCTAAAAAAAAATTTTTTTCCTTTTTTTTTTTTTTGCTCTCCCCTTTTTCCATTTTGTTTTTTTTTTTTTTTTTGGAAAATGTTACATCACGGACATTAATGTGGGGGGAAAGAGAGAGAGAGAGAAAAAAAAAGAAAAAAAATGAAGGAAAAATTTTTAATTAATGAATTTCTGAACTCCAGGCAAAAATTTCCCTTGAGATAAAAATCATATTGGCTTCCCCGAAAAAAAAAAAAAAAAAAAAAGTTTTGCTTTTTTTTTCTCCCTCCCTTTACCCGTTCCCATCACCATCTTCCCGACCCAACCCACCCCCACCCCCCCATCCTCTTTGACTCCGCATTTCCCTTATTCTTTTCTTTTTAACCTGAATTTTTATTAAAAAAATTTTTTTTAATTTTTTTTTTTTTTTTTTTTTTTTTTTTTTACGTCTTGAAACTGGAAAAATTATTATTATTATTATTATTATTATTATCATTCACCGTCGTCGTCGTCCCCATATTGTTTGCATTTTGTAAGGATTTTACTGATCAGAAACGAATGGATGCTGTAAATTTTCATGTCGATTATCTAATATGTGAAATTGACAAAAATCGAGAGAATATTCTCAAGTTGGCACACCTGTTTTCGTTCCCCCCATTTAGTAGTAAATGTTCTATTCCAAATTTTCGTGACGTCATAATTATTATTTTAATTTTCACGCGTAGAATCGAATCGCGTGTGTTTCGTCATCAGAGATGAACACTACACACTCACTTTCTAGAAAGTTCCATAGCATTTAACCGCCGGCTAAAAGAAATAATTATATTTAAATTAATCAATGATATTTTCCTAAATGAATTTTCAAAATAAAACCACCATGTTTGATGATGATGATGATGATGATGATGATGATGATGTTGTAGCAGAACTCGTAACGTGATTGTTGTCGTCATTTCATTCCCCTTTCGAGAATGATTTTCCAGGAGAAGTAAATTTAAATGAAAATTTTTTTATTTATTTATAGGTTTTGAAAGAGTGGCAGAAGAATTTATGGGTCGAAGGAAATGGAGATTGTACCAGGAAAAAGTACTCAAAAGTTGGTGTTCATCAATAGAAAAAGAAATAGAAATCAAAGACTGGGATCCGAGAGACGATAAATGTTCTTTTTGTGATCTTGAACCATTAGGAAAATTTACTGACGAAGAACCGGTAAATATATATATGAATATTGTGTGTTGTTGAATTTGATTGATTGATTGATTGATTGTAATTGTTTACGAAAAGAACAAAAAAAAAAAAAACACAAAAAAATCCAAAACGGGGAAAACAAAAAACTTTTTATTTTTCATTAAAAACAAATAGAGTAGCCCTCTTCGTTTGGAGTGTTTCAATTCTTCAGCACACAACAACAACAACAACAATAATAATAATCATATAGACTTGTTGGAAGTTGACGACAGCGATAGTAATTCAATAAGTTCTACCGAAGACTCCGTCACAACAATGAACGCGTTGGATTCTGTGACGTCAATGGCTGCAATTGCAGCATTAACGAGCCCCGGCGGGGCACCCAATCCGTTGCTTTACCCTCCTGGAGTTTTTCCAAGATGGTATCTTCCTCAACCACCTAGACCCCTGTTGGAAGGAATGACTGGAAAAACAGAACCACCGATGGTTTGTATTATTATCATCATTTTTCCCCCCCCTTTTTTTTTTTTTTTACATACGTCACGGTTTTAAGTTTTGCAAAAAAATTTTTTTCAGGTCACGAATCTCCCTGCTGCGTCTGCTGCAGGTTCCGAAATGCCATTAGATTTAAGTGCCAAATCTTCGAAACCGCCACAGTCTGCAGACAGTTTAGAGAATAATATAAAAATACCAAATCTCATGGATAATAATAAACCCGTCATGAAGTGAGTAATTAACCGGAAATGGATAAATATATTTTTTTTAAAATGAGTCAAAATATGTATCATCAAAGAGGTTAGTTTAAACCTCGACCTCGCCATATCTTTTCTTTTTTCTCACTCATCGAAACGATGAGTAAAACAATTCGAATTGGAAAATTGTGACGTAATACAAGAACAACAACAACAAACAAAAACATTTTCCAAAATTAATTTTCTTTTTTTAAAATTTTCAGGGGAAGGCCACGAATGAGCCCGATGTCCGGTAGAAGGACTTACACCGAAGATGAACTTCAAGCTGCTTTAAGAGACATTCAGAGTGGAAAATTAGGCACAAGACGAGCTGCTGTGATATATGGTATACCTAGGTCTACACTTAGAAATAAGGTAAGAATTATTATAATAATTAAGGTTTTAAACCTTAATTCGTACCCCCGTGCTCGGGTAAGATAATGATGATTTCGAATTATTTTTCAGGTGTATAAACTTGCCTTAGAAAGAGAAAGAGATGCTCATTTATTATTGACTCCGATATCTCGACCTTCTCCTCCGGATAGAGTCGTGTCATCTCCGATGCTTCCCATAAATGTGGAGAGAGAGGACTCGAGTGCCGAGGAAGAAAGAGAATCCGAACCTCCCTTGAAACCGCCGCAGCTTTCAATGGAAGATCTCATGCGTCTCTCAGCTTTGGATGGCGGTTCTCAAATCGAAGGTCTCACAGCGTTGCTTCATAGCATTTCGAGATTGCACGCGGAAGGTATGAATTTCGGTGACGCATCGGGTAACGCTTTCGTCGCATCTTATTTGAGTCAACTGTTAAAGTTAAAGGAAAATTTAAGTCCCGAAGTTGAAAAAGACAACAAAGTGATTAAAAAAGACGATACGAATAAAGAAAAGAACGGTGGGGGTGGCGGTGTCGGTGGCGTCGGCGTCGCCGTTGTCGAAGATTTGACTAAAGATTCCGATGATGTAATTATACAAGAAACCGTTGTTGACAAGGGTAAATATTCTCCGCACGTGTTGCCGCAATTGATGAAAAGGATAATGGCCGAAGAAAGACTTTTAATAGAAGAACAATTAAAAAGAAAAATGGAGAGTGAAAATGGAGTCGAAGACGATCAGTCAAATGTGATACTTAGAATTCCGTCCTTTAAACCGAACGCGAGTTGTTCGAAATCTAGTAGTGACGTCGATCAAAGATTTTCAACGAGTCCGGCGGGTGCGTCGCAGGAAAATTCACAGCACAGCATTATATCGCAATCGATAAACGGAGACAGCGATTCGCCACCCATTGGGAAAACTGTTGGAATGTCGAGTTTGAGGGATGCCATTGCCAAAAGTATTAGTCAAAAATTTCAACAAGATGGGGTTTCGCCTCACGGATTAGGCTCTCCAGTATTAGGACCAGAAGCTATAGATGCTCTTGCGAAAAGAGGAAATTTTTCTCATTTGGGTTTGCCATCGTCTCATTCGGTTATCAAAAATCACTTTGACCGGAATCAGCAAAGATTGCAACACGCGTCGAGTGTTCAAACGAACGCGCAAGGAAAAGGAACACGGCCGAAACGTGGAAAATATAGAAATTACGACAGAGATTCTTTGGTGGAAGCCGTCAGAGCGGTACAAAGAGGAGAAATGAGCGTTCACAGAGCGGGAAGTTATTACGGCGTCCCTCATTCGACTCTAGAATACAAAGTTAAAGAAAGGCATTTGATGAGGCCGAGAAAAAGAGAGCCCAAAGGGGAAGACAAAAATAAACTTATAACGTCTGGAAGCGGATCGAGTGCGACGGGGGTTGGGATAGACAAGCCAAAGCCCATCGTTCTTGCACCCAAACCGTCTAACGCAAAACCATCTTATCCGAATTCGACGGCTTTGCCAAACGGGTTGAAAATTCCTCCGAGCATTTTCGAAACCGGAGTTTCCCCTCTGGCTGCTGCCTACGCTGGATCTCCATTTCCGTTTTGGCCACCAACTCCGTTTCATCCGTTACCTATCGACATAACTCGAGGAGCGTTTCCCACGACACCGGAACAACTTTTCAATCCGCAAGTTATGAGAGGAGGTGGAGGTGGTGGAGGAGGAAACGCCGGCGGAGGAGTGGATGCATCATCGAATCCGTCCACTTTGCCTCCGAGCACGAGAAGAATCGCGGAAAGTTTATACGACGGAACAGGAAGCAGCGGAAGCTTTTTAGACGGAATAATAAGGTCGAGTTTAGAAATGGGATTAGCAAGTTCTCAAAAATCAGAAAAAGATTTAGAAAAATCTGGAAAGAATACGGAAAACATGTCAAACAAAGCACTTTTAGATCAACTCTGTAGAAATTCCAGGCTCACTCCCGTTTTGAGACAAAGCGGAGAAAGCAATTCCGAAGACGAAACGTCAACGACGACGACAACAACAACAATTGGAGCAACAGGAATAACGGGAACGCGACACACCGTTTTCGATTTATCACGTTCATCCGACGACGATTACGATGACAGACGATCGAGAAAAAATTTTCTACGTCGTTCGGATTACATGACTAAAAGATTCGACATGTTGCCGAGACGAATACACAGCGAAAAAAGTGCCACGGATCCGGAAATTTCCATGAGAAATAACGATGAAAAACACGGGGAGGGTCGAAGCTTTCAAGAGAGTCGATCCTACAGATCGTCCATGTCGGACGACAGATCAAAACATTCGTCAGACGTTGAAATGAACGGGGACCAAGACGATCTAAGCCCTGAAGAATTACACGAAGATGAAGACGAAGACATGGACGACATTTCCAATCACGCAAGCGACGAAGAAGACATAAAAGACTCTTAGAAAAAATAATAATAATAATGATAATGATAATAATAATTCGAATAAGTTTTATTTTCGTATATGTGTACATATTACATATATACATACATGCATATAAATTTTTTTTTAAATTTATGTATGTTGGCGATTCTGGCTTCCAGAAAATTCTCTCATTGTAACGAGCTTGCCATCGACTGATAATATTGACAGACAAACAAAAAACAAACAAACAAAATTTTTTATTTTATTTTTTTTTCGTTTCTTTTATATTATTTTTATAAAAATTTAAAATTTAAAAAAAGTTTAAAAGAGTGCGAAGGTGAAAGTGAAGAATGTCTGGAGTCACGTTTTAGTGATAATTAATGATGACGTCATTAAAAACAATTTTTTTTTTTTTTTTTTTTTAATTAAAAAAAAAATTTTACATAACAAACGTTTAACTGGTTCATAAAAATACATTTAAAAAAAAAAAAAAAAAACCGTTTGTATAATAACACATTCCATTTCGCGGTTTTTTTTCTCTCTCTTTCACTCTCTCTCTCTCTATCTCATTTAAAAGAGTCAACGTTTAATTACTCTATGAACGTAACAATACGTTACGTTTTATTATTATTATTTTTTTTTTTTGTTAAATTTAATAAAATCAACGAATTAAAAAAAAAAAAAAAAAAAAAACATGTAACAGACAATATCTACTCCAGTGCCTTCATAGTAGGCAAAAAAAAAAATATTTAGATATTATTATTATTATTAACGTACTTTTTTTCTTACCGTTTATTATTATTATTATTATAAAATGTTTATTTATTTATTTATTTGTTTTTTTTTTTAATTGGTTGTATCAATTTAAAAAATGACCAAGATAGAAAACAATAACAAAGGGTACTTAAAATAAATTTTTTTTTCTTTTTTGACAGTTGGTAGAACTGATTTTGAAAAACGTTAAAAATGAAGATTTTTGAATTTTTATTATTCGTGGTGTAAAATTTGTTTGTTTTGTTTTTTTTTTTTAATTTTGTTTTCTCAATCGAAACAGGTAAAATAAATAAATACATACATAATAATAATAAATAAATAAATAAATGAATAAAAAAACGTGGAAATAGAAAAATTAATAAAATTTCTGACGTTATTTTATATATTTGTAAACATGGTTGACTCTTTTTTTCTCACTAGACATCATCATAAAACAGGAAATAAAAAGAAAATTTTTTTTTATATATATATATATATATATATTTTTGTATAAGTCGTATGAAATGCACAATAAATTTGTGTCCTTTTATATAAGCTCTCGTATCGCCAATTATAGGTGAATAATAATAATGATAATAATAATAATAATAAATAAATAAATAATAAAATTTTATCATTTTTAAATGTACAAGAAATATTCATAACGATTGTGTTTTTTTATAAGGCCTAAAAAAAAAAACAAAAAAAAAAAAAAAAAGAAAATGTTTTATGAAAATTATGGAAAATGTTATATGTTACACACATACACACACACTCATAGACACATACTCACTCACACAGACATATAAACAAGCACCAACACACAAACACACACACACACACACACACACAGATTCACAAAAACAAAACCCAAACACACACATACACAGAGATATGCACTTACTCAGACAGACATACAAACAAACCCACACACACACACAGATTCACACTTATTCACCCAAACATACAAACAAGCACAAACACATACACATACAGATTGAGAAAGACAAACTCAAACACACACACACACAGAGATTCACACTCACTCACACAGACATACAAACAAGCACAAACAGAAAACTGTTTGTCACTGTGTGACACACACACACACACACACACACACACACACACACATGTATATATAATATCTGTGCTGTGAGTATAAATATATATATATATTAAATATATGTGTAAATATATAAAAATTGACTATAAGCCTAAATAAACGGACCATTTGATACATTCCAATAATCAATAATTAATTGATTGATTTTTTTAAATTGATTGATTGTAAAAAATAAATAAGTAAATAAATAATAATAATAATGTTGAATAAAATTTTATTTGACAAAAAAAAGAAGCCATTTTAATACAGGAAATTGTAGAGGGGGGGAAGGGGAAAATTTCAAATAATTGAAGTAAAAATTATTATTATTATTATTATTATTAATTAAACGAAAAAAAAATGATAAATAAATAATAATAATAAAATTTTATTGTTCATCATCATCATCTGTCTATCTTTGTATATTTTTATCCGTAGATCCATTTAAATAATATTTTTAATTGTTATTAATTAATTAAGTATTAAATAAAATGAAAAAATAAATATGTACGGACTTTTATGTATAATAAAAAAAAAAAAAAAATTAAAAATATGGAAAAAAGTAAAAAAAAGACTTGATAAAATTTTATTGTAATTAATTTTACGAATAATATAAATGAAATAAATAAATAAATAAATAATTTTTTTTTCTTTTTTTTTTTTAAATTAAGAAGAAGAATATAAATAAATATATAAATCATTTTCGTATGATAATTTGTCTCCTATATTTGTATAATTAAATAAATAAGTTGGCCGCCAACTTGTCAATCAATAAAAAAATGTCGCCATTTTTTTTTTTTTTCGTAATTTTTGTCAAGTAACAACACAAATTGATTAATGATGATAATAAATTTAAAAAAAAAAATAAAGAAAAATGAGTTTTTTTTTTTTTTGATTATTTGGCAGTGATTTCCTTTTCGTATACTTCGAACGATTTTATCGATTTTTTTTTTGTTAAATAAATAAATTCTCAAATTTTAAACGTTATTTTAAATAAAATGTCTGAATTATTATTTTATTAATTTAACGGTTTTTTTTTTAAATATCGCACTAGGCGCTTTTCGTCGAGTCACGTGACTTAAAATTAGTTCACAATTTTAACACGGGTGTCGCTAATTTTCTCGAAGTAAGAATTTCGACCGTTAAAACAGTTTAGTTCTCGAACAAAATTTGAAATAGAAGAAAAAACAAGTGAGTGAAAAAATTTTTGAAAAAAAGGATTAAACATTGGCGGATTTAAATGAATTAGAAAATTAATTTAAGAAATTGATTAATGGTTTTATTCAAATTTTCCACGAGGTAAATAATAATTATTAATTTAATTGGATAAAAATTTTAAATTGAATGGATTTACACGAGTAAGGTTATTTTTGAGGAATATTTGAAATTTTCAAAGGTAGAATTAACAAAAATGAAATAAAATAGAAAAAATTAAATACAAAATATATTTAAAAATAAATTAACTTTATAAAAATAACGTAAAAATAATAATTATTATCATCTTACACGTAATAAAATAGCTAACAAGGTAATTATATAAGTAAATGTAAAGCTATATTTTATAGAGCCTGAATCTCTAACGTTGTAATTATCGACAATATGAATTTTCCAACCCATGTTCGAATGAGTGAAACTGTTATAATAAACAACATCAGGCCAAGAAGAATTTGGTGTAATTTCTAAAATTGCTGGATCACCTAATGGGGTAAGAAAAAAAAATTTGTTTAAACAATAATCAATTGATATATGAAAGATGGGCTAATGTTAATTATTATTATTATTATTACCTTTTTCACAGGTGAACACTAAGGACCTATTAAATTTCTTAAAAGTTTCAAAATCATCATCCAGTCTTCTGTCTCTTTTATTATGTTTTGAAATACAAAGTGGTCCAGCTGAAACACATCATGAATAACATTATTATTTCATATTTTTTTTGGAAGGAGAAGAAGAGGAAGGGAGGGAATTGTGGTTTTACCGGCTGTTGGTCGAGGTTGTCCTCTTCTTGTAAATTCCACACCAGCCAGAACTCTTATTTGTCTTTGTGCAGCTTCCGAAAGTGTTTCGAGTCCTCCGTGTGGTTCCGTTGTTATTATCAACGGATGATAAGTTTCGGCCGAATGAGGATTATTCCCTCCGTAAACTTTAAATGAATACGTCAATCCTCTTCTCATCCATAATTCAGGTATTAATTTTCCATTTATGTACCATGCCAAAGCGTTCGACGTCATACCTTCATTTAAAAAATGAATCAATTTTGTTGGATTTTTGTACTTTTTGTCAATGTGTCTTTTACTTACCCGTTAATCCCTGGTAACCTCTTTTTCCTCCAGGAGGACCAACCGTGGCTGTGAAAACTCTTATGCTCCTATCAAATATTTCATTTTTATCCCACGGTTCTCTGTATTGTTCTCGCGAACGAGTAAAGGAAAAACAATTGTTTTCTGTAAATTATCATCATCATCATCATCAACAACAACACAACATCATGGTTTGATTATAATATAAAATCTTACCCGGTTCTTTTTTATTCAATTCTAATTTTAAATCTGATTTTAGATAATAATCGTGAAACGAGGGTTCCTTATTATGATCCAATTGACCGAATGCCCAAACCACATATGCTGGACCATCAGTAGGATAAGATTTATCTCCAGAATCAGCTATAAAGAAAAGGGAGAAAAAAAGGGCGCACGTTTTTTAAAAATTTTCTCTCTCGGAAATAATAATAATTTTAAAAAAAAGAAAATTTTTACAACGTACAAGATATTAACGTTCTTCTATACGTCACAATGTTAATCCCATTTTCTCTGCTGAATGTGTAAAGTTGATTATTGTCGATACCTCCGACCATATCGTCCCTGCACACACCCTTATACTGTCCGAGAACTCGAGAACACTGCAATACAAACAAGGAGAATTAATAAAACGCATAAATTAAAAAAAATTTCGAAATGTATTTTTAAAAAAAACGACTAGTTACAGGTGCCAAACCGGTTATGTTGTAATCAGTGGCGTAACCTCTAAATGAATCAATGTAGGCAACAGCAACATCTGCACCCATCATTTGACTTTTTTCCGATGAACCACTAAGACCAAAAGCCATGTAATCATTTTCACCTGGAAATGTTTTTTTAATTAATTAATTTTTTTAAAATTTTATTTATTATTATTATTATTATTTAGAGTCTAACCGATTTGTGCTGCTAATTGAATGGTGATTTGCGGTCCGAAAATTTCCCAACTAACTCTGTAATTTTTATGAAGTTGATAACAATTTGGCAAACTCGTTTTATGCTCCTGAAATCAATAGGAAAAGACAAATAATTGCTGTCACCTTTTCACAATGGAATACGAGATAAGATGAAAGAATCTTACAATGATCTGGACCAATGATGGAGGAACGTTTAAACCATCGGGTATGATAACAGACCCAAAATTTTCATTATTTTCTAAATCAAATATGCTAAACCAATCAATATCGAATATAGTGAGATCACCTGGAAGTTCGAGTGTAACATCTTCTTCCTTATAAGCTCTCAAAGGATTCAAACTGGAATTTAAAATTTTTCCAGGAGTTATAACGAATATGTATGCTCAAAATGAAAAAAAAATTACAAATCAACTTACTATCCGTATTCGTCTGGAACTTTAAAACCTTTTGACGATGGTTGGGGACCGACACCAACCCAAAAATAAGCTTCTGCAAAATGAAAAACAATCAATGAAATGTAAAACGAAAAATTCCAGGAAAATTCCAGAATAATTTAAAAACCTACGAGAAGCTTTTCCGTTATAATAAAATTCTGTTAATTTAACAGTTTTCGAATCGATAACTTCAAAAGATGATGATTTCACACCGTGGGATTTAGAAGATAATTGTGAAATTTTTTGCAATGCTGGAGGTTCGAATTCTTCAGGAATGTAAACGTCACCGAAAGCGTTCTGAAAAAAACGTTCACAAAAATTACATTACGGTAAAAAAAAAATGGAAACATTACCCAATGAAAAAAAATTACTTGACTAGAAAGATCGTATATCGCAAACCATTTTATCTCGGTTATCTTTTTGTTGTCCGGAAGTGTTATCGTTAAATCTTTGTTGAAATATCTTTCTAGAACGTTCGTTCTGAAATCAGATATATGGATATATATATGAGTAAGATATTTTAATATTAATAGTTTAATTTTAAAAATGAAATTCATTTGTTAACGTACTTTCCATATTCGTCAGGTACAATAAAACCCTGAGGACCTGGTCTATTCGATGCTCCGGCCCAAAAAAAGGTATCAGCACCGTTACCATCATAACTGAATTGTATTAATAAAAGTGTGTAATCATCAACGGCATAAACTTCACCGGAAACTTGATGATGATATGAATTTAATTTACCCAAATATTTACCACGATAAGGACCATCTTCTTCGTCACATTTAACATCTGAAAAAAATATTAAAAATAAATTCCAAAGTATATGACGAATCCAAAAAAAAAAAAATCAAATCCCCGGATCTGGAATGCTACCAACCAGGTGACCTCAAACTCTGTTAATTTTTTTTTTTTTATATGAAATTTTAACGTGTAATACGAATAGGCACAAAAAAATTTTGGAAAACGTTTTGAAAACGTGGAAACAGAATCAAAAGAAAAGAAAAGACACGACACTTAAAAATCTTTTAGGTTTTATATCAACACAGGACACATAGAGTTAATTAATATTTAACATTTTAACTTACCTTGAAAGAATATCGTACATAAAAAAATTCCCCAACGTATCACTAATTTAATTTTATTCATGTCTTTTAAAATTTTTTCTTACACATTTCTGTTATTATAGGATATCAGAAAACTAATAACTTATTACTCACGATAAAGTAAAATTTTATGAAATTATTATTACAAGTAATAAAAAAAGAAAATAATAACACCATATGTTGTTATTAAACGTAAAGAAAAAAACCGTCTGGAATCCTGGATACGTTTTTTTATTATACTAATAAATAAATTGGTAAGTTAAACACTTGGTCGTATGTGGCCATTCACTCACAAAGAATTTCTTTTGAAGGTAATTCAAAAAGTTCTTACGATGAAATTTTAAAAATTTTTTGTATCGTTCGACCCTCCGAAACGGAATTCCCGCGGGAAATCGGATGAGTTTTCCGTTCCGAAAATGTTTTTCCCCCATTCGAAACTGTCGGAAAAAAGAAAAATTCAAAAGAAAAGTGAATGACGTAGGTAAAATGAAAAGAAAATACTTATTGAAAATCCTTTGATTAATTTTGACTTTTGAGTAAGTACCAGACGATGCTTTAAAGTTCTTCGTAATGTCAATGTTTTTTATTTTACAAAAGCTAAACATAGGTTTCATAAGGTACCGGAGTATTTTTTACCGGTTCAGGTATATCGAAGTACATGAAGTACTCGTTAGAGTGCAGCACAATTACGAATCAGACAAAAAGAAAAGATAAATTTTTTTAGAAAATTTTTCCATTTCCGCTTTTTGTGTTTTAAAAATTGTAAAGGATTCCATGGAAGAAAATGAATTGTTTGATCGATATCGAGATTTTCATTTTTCATAGATTGGTCAAAATGAAACCCAGTCGACCTCGCGTTTTAAATTCTTCAAGAAATTATATCACGATAGGTTGGGATTCCTGTGATTCACTCATATTAAAACCTATTCAAGGTATAAATGAAGAAAGCGAATTGATAAGTGATAACCGTAGATGGTATTTGCTGGAAAGAAAAGATAAAATTCTCGGATGGATGAACGAATACGCGTACGAATTCAAGAAATCATTAATTTAAATTAATGGTGTTATTATTATTAGTATTATTATTATTATTATTATTTTTTTAAAGGGGATTCAAAACTCAGGTGAACGTGGGACCGTTACCCCCTGGAGAATATTACGAATTTCGTTTAAAAGTCAAAACAACATCAGATGAAAGCGAATGGAGTAACGTATTATTTGCTCTTACGAAAGGCAAGATGGTACAAATGTCAAAGTTGAAATCAAAATTAAAAATTTTAACATCACAGCCGAGTTTTCTTTTTTTTTAGACGATGTCGTGTCGGTTGCACAATTTCACAGGGTCGTGGAAAACGGTCCGGTTATCAATTTGAGAAAAATACTCGGTCAGAGAGTATCGGTAGTAGACGTACCCAATAAATACGGATTTTCATCGCTTAGATTGGCCACGAATAAAAACAATACAAATTTTATGGGGATTTTAATTAATCACGGAGCGGATGTTGGCAATACTGAAAAAGGATCTGAAAGAACTCCTTTGATGGCTGCTTGCGGTTTGGGACATATCGAAGCCGTACAACTTCTCGTCGAGAAAGGTTCGTCGTGGAACGTTAGAGATAGGTATGAGAAATTATCATTATTATTTAAATTTTTTTTTTTTTATTAACATTTTCAATAAAATTTTTAGAAACGGATTAACAGCGTTAAATTATGCCGTGGACAATTCACATTTGGATATAGTTAAATACGGTATTGATAACGGAGCTGATAAAACAACAAAAGATAATTCCGGATGGAATATTTTAATGAGAGGAAGTAGGAGGAAATTTTACTTTTTCATTAAATTAACCACTACGATACGGATTTTTCCGGGAAATTTTCTTTTGTCTTTTCCAGTCGTGCTTAACTCATCGAAAGACGTCATCGAATTTCTTTTAAATTCGGGATTCGATCCGAACGAATCTGACGAAAAGGGACAAACAATACTCATGCAAGCAGTACTTTCTGGTAGACCGGAAATAGTACAAATACTCGTCGATAGAAAAGTCAATTTAAACGTTAAAAACGCGCAGGGAAATTCCGCGTATAAAATGGCGAAAAATTCATCGAATCCGGTAATTCGTACATTATTATATTTTATTACACATTTTTCGTTAATTAATAAAATAATTAATAACGGTAATTTTTAGAAAATGATTAACATATCATCCATTTTAAAAACGGAACAAGATGAAAATGACGAAATGAAATCCATTCGATTTAAATATCAAAAAATAAAAGGAAAAAATTAAATTTTGAAACATTTTTTTAAAAAAAAGACCGGAAAAATTTTCAGGTACGGAAATAATAATAATAATAATAATAATGATACTAAAAAAAAAAGAAAATGAAAATTATTTAATCGTTTTATCTTTCACTTTTACTTAAAAATTTCAACTTTCATATATATTATCAAATTCAACTTACTTAAAGAAAGAGAGAGAGAGAGAGGAAGAAAGAGAGAGAGAGAGAGAGAGAGGAAGAAAGAGAGAGAGAGAGAGACAGAGGGGGGGGGGAAGAGAGAGAGAAAGGAAAAAAATTGCAATTTAAAAAAAAAAAAAGTTTCTAACGTTAAAATTAAAAAATGTTTTAAAAACCACTGATAAATAATTAAAAATAATAATGATGATAATGAACAAAAAAGGAAGGAGAGAAAGCAACATTTAAAGTAGTTGAATAACAGGTACGATACCTGAAGTGAAAGTCAATTATATGACGATTAGCATAGTAAATAAAATTAAAAATCTTGTTACAAGGTTAATTTTAAAAATCTCCATTTTCTTTCTTTCTTTCTAATTAAAAAATTTTTGTATTTATTGAATTTTAATAATTTTTTATAACGTCACAGAGAGAGAGAGAGAGAGAGAGAGAGAGAGACAGAAAGAGAGAGAGAGAAAGAGAGAGAGAGGAAACTAATTAAAAATTTATGCTATGATTTTAGGTTTTCTATACAAAAAATGGAAAGTTTTTTTTATCATTATCAACAACGTCAGATATTCACTGATTATTTAAACAAACAAACAAATCGAACCGCACAACAACAACAACTACAACAACAACCCAGAACCGTTGAATTTCACTGGTTTATAAAAAACACGTCATTAAAAAAAAAAAAATTTTTATAGCGGGGAGCTCTCTATAACTGGACCCCCTGCCACATATTTTATTCTTTCACTTCTTTCACCGGCATTTCAGTTTCATTTTTTAACTCATCTCGTACGGATCAACAAGCCTTCGAATAGGTTATTTCATCATCATCATCATCATCATCGCGTGGAAATTTTGTAATTAAAAATGGGTCGTATAACGTATGAAAAAATCGAAGGAGAAGATGGAGAAAAATTAGATGAACTTTTTGGAATAAAAGATTGTTTAGTTGAAGTTAATCCTGGAAGAGTTATTTTACCACCTGATTATAAAGATATCGGTGAAAGAATAATGGATTTAAAAGTACGAAAAGATGATGTTTGGTTAATATCATATCCGAGAACAGGTAAGTCATTCATTTATTTTTAATAACGGAAAACGTACCTGAAAATTCAACGGAATCCAAAAAAAAACCTGGAAACGAATTGAAGGTCATTCAGATGTTTTATCATGTTAACCACTTTCACTACTTTTTTTCAAATAAAATGAAAGTTGATTATTATTATTATTATTATTATTAAATTTGGTTTCAGGTTCGACTTGGGCACAGGAAATGATTTGGTGCATCGGTAACGATTTAGATTATGAAAAAGCAAAACAAATTCAACAATTAAGAACTCCCCTTCTGGAACTTTCTGCTATAATGGCTCATCATCACGGGGATTGGATGAAAGAATTGGGAAATTCAGTTGATCTCGTTGAAAATCTTACATCTCCGAGATTTATAAAAAGTCATCTCCCGTGGGAACTCTTACCAAAAGATCTTAAAATCGTGCAACCAAAGGTTTTTACCCTTTTTTTTTTTTTTTTTTATTCCTTTTTGTTAATAAAGTTCAAAGGTTAATTATTTGTTGTTGTAGGTAGTGTACGTTGCGAGAAATCCAAAAGACATGTGCGTTTCTTATTATCATTATTGTCAACTCGTACACAACATGAAAGGTTCATTCGAGGATTTTTGTCATTTGTTCCTTAAGGATAAGGCACCGATCGGACCGATATGGAATCACATTTTAGGTTTTTGGAACAGGAGAAATGAAAATAATATATTATTTTTAAAATACGAAGATATGAAAAAGGTATAAGGGAATGAGTTTCCTCCCCTCTCCTCCCTTTCCCCTCAAATTCGAAGTTATTAATTTTCTCTCTCTCTCTCTCTCTCTCTCTATTCAGGATCAAAAGGGAGCAATAAAAAAGGCGGCAAAATTTTTAAATAAAAATCTTTCGGATGAAGACGTGGAAAAATTGGCTGAACATTTATCCTTTAATAAAATGAAAGAAAATCCGGCCGTTAATTTAGAACCTTTGATGTCACGTAAAGAAGGTTTTTCGAAAAATTCACAATTGAAATTTATACGTAAAGGACAGGTATGTTTATTATCCAATCGAAAATATTATCTGTTTCCGGTTGGTAATAATAGTAATAATAATAATAATATTGTTAATTACAGATAGGAGATTATAAAAATTTTATGTCTGATGAATTGATTAAAAAATTCGATACATGGACGGAAAATAATTTAAAAGGAACGGGTTTGACCTTCGAAACCGTTTAAAATTTTTTTTTTTTTTTTTTTTGCTTTTTCATTAAATTTATTGTACATATATTAATAATAATGATAATTTTTGTTTTTCGTTTTTATCATATTTTTGTTGTTATTATTATTATTATTTTAATAAAATTTTTTAACCTGTTATTAAATTAATAATGAAAACGTTTTTACTTCCTGAAATCTAAGAAAAAATCCATAACCATAAGTTAAACATCTCAAATACGATTTATTGAAATTAAATGATTTAACAATTTAAATTTATGACACTTTCGCACATTTTTTTTTTTTTTTTGATGATCCAGGAGAAATGCAAGTTACGCACAACCCCTCCTGCTACAGAGGGAGTGTGGGAATCGGTTTGGAATCGAAAGAAAGCCTAAACGGGGACCCCTACCCACTAAAACTCCTGGGCATGTCGCTATAATGTCAAAAAGATATGATTTTCTTTTAAAAAAAATTTGGGTTATGCAACTGGCAATACGCGAAACCTGACAAATTGCATAACTCAAAAAAGTAAGGCGGACAAAAAAAATCGAAAAAATTCAAAAATCCTTAAAAATTTTGGTTATGCAATTTGCAATACGCGAGAACACGACAAATTGCATAACTCAAAAAAGTAAGGCAAACAAAAAAAAATCACGAAAAATCAGTGAAAAATTGGTTCCGAGTATCAGTAAAACATAATATTCAGGAGGTCTCAATTTTTCGATAGTTTCGTTTCGCTTCAACGCCTTGCATTTAGAGTATATGCAATTTTCAATACAATTTTTAACCAATGGCGTGCTTTGTATACATAATGAGAAATTAATGGCGCTCGCCATTCTTACTCGTGATTGGTCAGAAAAAAAATCACATATTTTTCATGTTTAACTTATGTATTAATAGGAATAAAATTTAAATTATGAAATAACTATATTTTAAAGCAAAATTTTGTATATGTATGTGTTTAATATGACCAAGGATGGAGAAACGAATTTAAAATTAAAAAAAAAATAATAATAAGGATAATAAATAAATTTTATTTAATTTTTATTTATTTATTTATTATTATTATTATGTAAAAATATTTATTCGTGGCCGTATTATAAAAGCAATATATATATATATATATATATATATATATATATATATATATATATATATATTGTTATGTTCGGTTCGTTCTTTATATTATAAGTCGCAAATTAATATTAAAATTAATTTACAGTTTATTTCTTGTGACGTGTTAAATGCTTAGCATACACTTTTTCACAAAATAAAAGTAAAGGTTATTTTAACTCGCGAACAAACACTTAGAAACTATCACTCAACCAAAACTAAAATTAAAGAAACGGATAAGAATTCAATATAACAAAATGAAGAATCAAAAGAACGCGTGCAAAGCTGTGAAGCTTCCCTTTATAACCTCGGTTTTTCATTAGTCAATTGTTTCGAATGTCCAACAATCTAAACGAGCAAATACTTGCAAATAAAACAAAAGAAAGAGTTTCTAGAAGCTTCACTTCTAAAGAAGAACAATTTGAGTTCATCGTTAGTCTTTTGTTTATAAAAAAATTGAAAAATGTGAACATTGAGTATGGGATCATAACAAAATATATATATATTTAATTACAAGGCCAAAACTGTATTCTATTACTGGAACAGCTAATGTGCCGATGGAGTTTAACTTATTTCTTCCATTCAGTTCCGACTGTAATATAAGCCTCAATCTTTTAAAATATTCTTTCTTTAATCGAGGTTTATTTTCCTTGTTGGCTACCCCAAAATTTTCTTCAATCCCCAGATATTTGTATGTTGATCTAGGGTCCAGTTCTTTAATAAGTTCTTCTTCAGAATCTTCTATATTTTCCTTTTGTTTTAACTTTCCACTGACAATATTAACTTTTGCACATTTTTCCAAACCAAATTTCAAGTTGATGTCAGAGGAAAAAGTTTGAACCGTCCTTAATATTTTATTTAACTCCTCTTAATTTTTTGCATAAATTTTTAAGTCATCCATATACAGCATATGGGTGATTTTCCTGCTTCTGGTACCAACTCATATCCTTCAGTCGCAGGAGTATAACTCCCATTTCAGCCTCAACCTCAACCCTTCTCTCACAGCCGAAATCATCAGATCCGAACTCGCAAAGGTGAGAGCAGATTCCCTTCTGGCATGGGCCGTTGCAGAGTTCCACTGCACCCAATTGGGATACTCCCCTCAACCATGAGGAAGGCATTCCAGAGGTATCACTTTCAGCCCTGCCTCCCATAATTACACATGTACATATACATACATAATTTAATACAGTATTCATGTTAGAGTGAATTCATATTCAGATAAATGAGAAACATTTGATCTTTCAGCGACTATCCTACGATAATCCCAACAGTGAAAATTTCTTTCGTCTAATTGAAGATATTTTGTGCCAAGGTTTAATTCTTTCCAATCAGGTTTGGGTAAATTGTCCAAGATCCATATTCTAAGATGCCAACTTCCATAGGATTTTGGATTTACTCTCAGTCACTGTTCTGTCAATTGTAAATCTTTTTCCAATAGTTTTTGATAACTTTCCAAATCCTCGTCGTTTTTAAACGACAAAAATATTTCTCTTCTATAATTCCATAATGTTATTATATCCGGATTTCCTGTAATAAATTACCGGTGAGATTTAAACCTTCTTCGTCGTGAATTTGTGAAGAACGTTTTTCTAATATTTGATTCATTATTTTTTTAAATTCTATTGCCTTTTACTGTTTCTCTTGCCTTGCGATTTCTTTTTGTTCTTCTGTCTGTTCTATTTTGACTCTCCCGTGCATTTTGTAATTTCTTTAAAAACAAATTTTACGATTTTTTTTGAAATTAATACAGGAAAAATAACTCACAATGGGAAATAGTAAAAATAATAGTAATATATGTAAACAACCATAGACATCAATTTAAACTTAATTATATCGATGGTAAATAAAGTGTCATTAGAAAAATGTATTTCACTTTAACGTGAAACTTATAAAAATATGGAAGCTTTTAACGTAGCCAATACATAAATATTTTCGTTAAATAATTTGTTTTATGTAAATTATTGGGTTGGCCAGTAAGTAACTTCGCATTTTACTAAGAGATAGTTTGTCCATTTTTTTGACTACGTTTACGTTTATGTACAAACATGAACTTTTGGTATGTTATTACTTGGTTCCTTCCGTAACATTCAGTACCAAAATTTCAATGAACTCTTAAATAGTGCGCCAGCAAAAGACATTTAAACATGGGGAGCCAAAGCGAGCATTTCCTTTACATTTTGCTTTTTTATTTCTGAAAGGGTGTTAATGCTTCACAAGCCAATAAAAAGTTGTGGGCCGTGTAGGGGGATGAAACCTTAATAGAACGGCAGTGTCAAAACTGGTTTGCGAAATTCCGTTCTGGAGATTTTCCTTTGAAAAATGAGGAGTGCTCCGGGCGTCCATTGGAGGTTAATGATGAGCAAATAAAGGCCCTCATTGATTGTGATCGGCATAGTTCGACTAAGGACATTGTAAAGAAGCTAGATGAGTCACATACGTGCGTCAAAAACCGTCTGCGGCGTCTTGGGTACCAAAAGAAGCTTGATGGGTCTTTGCAATATGCTTCTTAAATGCAATGCGAATGACCCTTTTTTGAAAGAATGGTCACCGGAGATGAAAAGTGGGTTGTTTATGATGACTTTTTGAGAAAAAGATCCTGGTCTAGGCAAGGTAACAGGCACCTTAGAACTTCTAAGGCTGACATTCACCAAAAAAGTTATTGTTATCATTTTGGTGGGATTACAAAGGCATAGTCGACTTTGAGCTACTGCCACGAAATCAGATCATAAATTCAGAGGTTTACATTCGACAATTGACAAATTTAAATGATAGCATCCAAGAAAAACGACCATAGCTAGCCAATAACAAAGGAATTGTCTTTCACCACGATAATGCCAGGCCCTCCCCGTCTTTAGCCACTGTACAAAAATTACTGGAGCTAGGCTGGGATGTTTTGCTGCACCCTTCATATAGTCCCAAACTAGCTCCAAATAATTATCATTTTTTCTGATCCCTAAAAAATTTTTTGAATGGACAAAAATTCCAAAATGACAATGAGGTCAAAACTGCATTGGACCAGTTTTTTGCTCCTAAAACTTAAGAGTTTTATGAAAAAAAGAAAATGATACTATAGAAAAGTTTCTTAAAAAGTTTAAGAAATTAAATCATTATTTATAGACTGATATACAATAATTAATTGGTTTTTTTTTCTTTTCTTTTCAGTGCACTAAACAAATCAAGATTAAAATATTGTATTTTCTTCCATTACTTACTTTTTTTTGCCATGTTTGCAAAACTATTACCAGACATCCTTGATAGATTAGATATATTCATTTTGGAAATAGAAGAACTTCAAGTGCCAAAACCCCAACTCTGGGAACATTTATGGTGTCTTTCAATAATTATCACTTTTTTTGGCCTGTCAGCAATTAAAAAAAATAAAATAAACGTTATTAATCAATATATATATATATATATGGAATTATAATATTCGGTTTTGGTACCACGTTATTTGGCGCCATGTATTATTTCCATGAAGTTTGGACTTATCTTAGATCAGGAGTAAACGATGATATTATATTGTGGCAAGGTTTACCCTATGGTTTACTATGGTATGTTTTCATATTGGCCGCATTTCAAGTACATTTTTTTTCCATATATTTTGCATGGAATTTAAGAAATGCTTGGAAAACAAGAGGATCCCATAAGAAATCCGGTAATTTTAATATTTTAGGACCTGGAAGTATCGTTTAACCTCAACACGGATCTCTTCCTCCCACGACCTCCGTGCGACCTGGAACGACGACGGCCGTACCCCAGCCCGGTCAAACGCCGGCCAAACAAAATCGAGTCACTGCAATACCTAAACCCATGGGATTAGATCCTCTCACAATTCTTCAGGAAAGAGAAAACAGGTAAAATTGGCTTCTTTTACCTGTTGGAATTTTTATCACGTGACATTTCGGGACGATTAACATTTTGCTTTGCATCAACTTTGTAGGAAAGCACCTCGGATCGCAATGAGAATCGACGTACTTAACAATTTACCAACTTTGAAAGAAATTGCCGTCAATGTAAAAGCGTACAAACGAACCAAACATCAAGGTTTGAGAGAAGCAAGAGCAACTGAAAAACTTGAGAAACAGTAAAAATTATAAGCGGAAAGAAAGGTAATCAATCATTGACCTAATGACCTCTTCCCCTCTCTCTCTCTCTCTCTCTCTCGTGTTTAACTTTTTTGTTGGTTTTAATTTTAGCCATGGAAGGAAATTCTTAGCTAACCTTTCATGAAATTACCTTCTAAAAATAAATTACCGGATTATTACGACATAATAAAAAAACCTTTGGATATAAAGAAAATAATTAACAGGATAGAAGATGGAAAAGTAAGCTGGGGGGAGGAGGTGGGGGGAAAAGTTTCATTCTGACTATTGTCATTGTTGTTTCAGTATTCGGATTTTGACGATTTTAAAAAAGGATTTTACTCAAATGTGTCAAAATGCTCAAATATACAACGAAGAAGCTTCTCTCATACACGAAAATTTAATCGTCCTTCAATCCGTGTTTACGAACGCGAGACAAAGATTGGAACAGGATGCGGAAACGGATGAGGATAAAGGTGTGATGAGAGAATCCCGTCGTTCGGATTTTATTATTTGTCGAATTTTATTTATTTTGATTTTTTAAATTTTCAGACGGTAGACGACGAGGATGGAAATTCCGATTCGGAATCCGTTAGAATGAAAATAAAAATAAAAAGTGGAAAAGGTGGAAGAGGAGGAGAGGGAAGAGGAAGCACGAGAAGGAGGAAAACTCAACCAAAGTACACGAATAGCGATGACGAAGACGAAGATGATTGATTGGAAAGAGGAAAAAAGAAGAAGAAGGAGGAGGAGGAGGTGGAAAAAGAAGAAACCAAAAGGAAAAGAAAAGGAAAAGGAAGAAGAAAATAGGAAAAAAAAGAATTTTCGGTCGAAATGATTTTCGCAGCGCACAATGCTTGGGAAATTTGAGTTTTTCTTTTCGTTTTTTAATCTTATCTTTTGGTTTTTCGTATAGAACGGAAATGACGTCGTCGTTTGCGGAGGGTAGAGAGGACAAAGGAGAAAAAAATGAATTAGATTAAGAGAAATAATAATCTAAAAAAATATTTTTTTTAATTTCATGACTCGATGATTGATTTTAGATAATTTTATTATTATTATCACTGTCGATATTGTCATCAATATCATTATTATTATTATTATTAATGTTAGTCAAAGTATAAGAAAAACTAAAATAAGTATAAAATGTAATTCAATAATGTGAGGTTTTTCGCTCATCTGACAGTTCGATTGATGAACTTTATATTATTATTATTATTATTATTAGTACCGATAATTTTCTACATATAATTTTCATCGTCTGCTAATTGCACGATGATTTTAACGCGACGATATCATTCGAAACGTTTTTTTTTTGTAGTTTTTCTCGTACGAAGTATTCCAAATAAAAAAGTTTCCTTTTAGGGTTAGAACGATAATATTTAAATTCACGATTTCTTTTTTGCAAGATTGATGAGTGGAGAAAAGGTGAAAATGAGAGAGAGAGAGAGAGAGAGAAAAAATACGTGCGTTTTTACTCGATGGTAAGTAGGTAGATCGTGAATGAAACAACAGAAAATTTTTTTTTTTTTGTATAAAGTTTTTACATTTGTCTTTACTAATTGTTATTACATTTTTTTTCTTTCATTTAGGAAAGGACCAGTAAAGACGAGCCGGCACATTCAGGAGTGACAGTATCAGACAGCGAAACAAGATGATGTCTACCTTTTGGAGAGGAGAGGAGAGGTGACAAAAACGTTTCTGTTATATTTTCAAATAATTTAAATAATGGCTACGATTTCGTTTTGGAAAAAAGTACGAAAAAGCGAGAAGGCAAGAAGGAGAAGGAGGGAGGAAGGGAGGGAGGGAAAGGCGAGAAAGAGGAATAATTAGAAAAAATCACGTTCGGTTGTTTGTCGTCATAGAAGGAACCTCGTTTTAAACCTGTAATTAAATTTTGAGTGATGATTGAACGTTTGATTTATATTTGTCCACGTTTATATTATATACATATATATGTATAAAATATATGTATGTAAATTTTTCTTAATCGTGACACATAAACTACTAAATTTGCCACAAACGACTATTAAGTTTTCCGTTTTTTTTTTTTTTTTCAAATTTATAATGATAATAATAATAATAATATAGTAATATATGTATTTATTCTCTCAAATATATTATTTAAAAAAAAAATATAATTTGTTTTTTTTTTTTTCCACCATGCATGTTTGGTTATATCATTCATTTATTCCCATGAAAGAAAAACTTAAAAGAAATTTTTATACAAATTGGGTTATGCAACTGGCAATACGCGAAACCCGACAAATTGCATAACTCAAAAAAGTAAGGCGGACGGAAAAAGTCGAAAAAATTCAGAAATCCTTAAAAATTTTGGTTATGCAACTGGCAATACGCGTAAACACGACAAATTGCATAACTTACAAAAGTAAGGAGAACGAAAAAAAATCAAGAAAAATGAGTGAAAAATTGGCTTCGAGTATCAGTAAAACATAATATTTAGGAGGTCTCAATTTTTCGATAGTTTCGTTTCGCTTCAACGCCTTGCATTTAGAGTATATGCAATTTTCAGTACAATTTTTAACCAATGGCGTGCTTTGTATACATAATGAGAAAATAATGGCGCTCGCCATTCTTACTCGTGATTGGTCAGAAAAAAAAATCCCATATTTTTCATGTTTAACTTATGTATTAAAAGGAATAAAATTTAAATTATAAAATAACTATACTTTAAAGCAAAATTATTTTTTGTAAATATTTAATAAGACTAAAATTATATATATTGTTGTGATCACGAGAGCAAATGTTCATAATTTTATTTTATTTATAAATAATAACATTAGAACTATGGTTGCCAAGTGTTTATTATGAAAAAGAAGCTTCTAGAAACTTATTCTTCTATTTGTTTACAACCATAGTTATTCGTTTCATAGAAACATAATAATAACAATGAGTTCCACATATAAAAGGAAGCAAGACACAACGGGAGAAGTTCTTCTGATTCCCTAATGTCCTGTGAACGTTACATCTTCCAAATTTCTATATTTCAGCCTTTTGTCTGCTTCTTTGGCTGTCTGGTGTTTTTCTCCTCTTCGGTTCTTCGAATACTTCAATTAACTTACACCATTTTTCCACATTATGTCTGAGAATGATATCCGGTTTGTTAGCTGGCACAGTTCTGTCAGTGTGGATTTGTTGATCATATAGAACTGTGCATGGACCTACTGTTGTAACCAGGCTTGGAATGTGGTTGTACCACTCCTTGGGTAATTCATCCATTCCATATTCTCGGCATATACTCCAATGGAGATATTGACATAATTTCTTCTGAGATTGGGCTTTGCTATCATAAGTTGAAAGTTGCCCTTCTTCCATTATCTCGTTTTCTTTATTTTCTATGACGATTTGTTTTGCCCTTTTCAGTACTCCTTTTTTTGTAATTTTTATTGTAATATATGTATAACTTAGGCTAAGATAGGGTCCTCTTGATGTGATTCTATGTATTTTCCCTTTTCCAATTATGGCATTCTGGTATGCGCTTCTATTTGTCGTAATCCTCTTCCTCCATCTTTCCTGCTGACGTACAATCTGTCCACATCAGCTTTTGGATGTAATGCACCATTCATAGTTAATATTTTCCTTTTTCTTCGGTCCAGGTGCGTGATTTCTTCTTTTGTCCAATCGACAAGGCCAAAACTGTATTCTATTACTGGAACTGCTAATGTGCTGATGGTTTTTTAATAAGTTCTTCTTCGAAGTCTTCAATATTTTCCTTTTGTGTTAACTTTCCTCCGACAATATTAACTTTTGCACATTTTTCCAAACCAAATTTCATGTTGATGTCAGAGGAAAAAGTTTGAACCGTCCTTAGCATTTTATTTAACTCCTCTTCATTTTTTGCATAAATTTTTAAGTCATCCATATACAGCATATGGGTGATTTTCCTGCCTCCCTGTACCAACTCATGTCCTTGATCCTTGATATTAAGCTGTCTGGACAGAGGGATTAGAGACATGCAGAATAATAATAATTATTATTATTATTGGCACAAAAAATAATATTTTTAATTGCTATAAATTTTATAGATTCTAATAAAAAAAAAAAAAAAAATTATTATTATTATTATTTAACGTTTGAAATTTTTTTTTGTTAACCCAGGAGAAATGCAGCATTTCGCACTAACCTCTCCCCACCTGGTAGCAGGAAGAGTGTTGGGGGACTCAGACGAAGTCACTACCCAACTAAAACTCCTGGATGTGCTTTGCTGCACTTTTTCCTGGGGAGTAGGGGCAGTCGCAGGAGTATGACTCCCATTTCAGCCTCAACCTCAACCCTTCTCTCACAGCCGAAATCATCAGATCCGAACTCACAAAGGTGAGAGCAGATTCCCCTCCGGCATAAGCAGTTGCAGAGATCTGCTCCACCCAATTGGGATACTCCCCTCAACCATGTGGGAGGCATTCCCGATGTATCACTTTCGGTCCTGCCTCCCATAATTACACATGTACATATACATACATAATTTAATACAGTATTCATGTTAGAGTGAATTCATATTCAGATAAATGCGAAACATTTGATCTTTCTGCGACTATCCTACGATAATCCCAACAGTGAAAATTTCTTTCGTCTAATTGAAGATATTTTGTGTAAAGGTTTAATTCTTTGTTCCAATCAGGTTTGGGTAAATTGTCCAATATTCATATTCTATGATGCCAACTATCATACGATTTTGGACTCTCTAACCTATATCTAACCTATGCTTAACTATCTGGATTTTACTCTCAGACACTGTTCTGTCAATTACAAATCTTTTTCCAATAGTTTTTGATAACTCTCCAAGTCCTCGTCGTTTATCAACGACAAAAATATTTCTCTTCTATAATTCCATAGTGTTATTATATCCGGATTTCCTGTTAATAAACTACCGGTGAGATTTAAACCTTCTTCGTCGTATATTTGTGAAGAACGTTTTTCTAATATTTGATTCATTATTTTTTTAAATTCTATTGCCTTTTTCTGTTTCTCTTGCCTTGCGATTTCTTTTCGTTCTTCTGTCGTTCTTATTTTGACTCTCCCGTGCATTTTGTAATTTCTTTAAAAACAAATTTTACGATTTTTATTTGAAATTAGTACGGGAAAAATAACTCACAATGGGAAATAGTAAAAATAATAGTAATGTGTAAACAACCATAGACATCAATTTAAACTTAAATAATAGAGAAGATATTAAAAAATTAAATTAGAAAAAAAAATTCACCTTTTCGATTAATTTCCTTTTTATTATTTCCTCTTGTAATTTCATTTTCATCATTATTTTTAACAAGAGTAACATCAACATCATTTCCAGCAGACGACAAAGAGTTAAAAGCGGTATTATTATTCCTGGAGAAGCGACGTAGTCTAAAGCCTTGTGAAGAGGTTTCTGCGATCGGGGAAAACGACTCTCAACTCTCGCACCGGGACACAGTCCCTAAATACCCTGTCGGCCGGCGGAAACACTGGGTCAGGGTGTCCCGTCGACCGTTTTAAAACAATGCGCAACAAGTAGGATCCGAATTACACGATCGGAGTCATCCACTGCACCCGGCCTCCAAGTAGCTGGATTACAGGAGCACGCCACTAACTCCCGGCCCCCTTCGCACATTTACCTTATTTATTTATTTTTAAAAATTACGCCTTGTTTTTTTTAAATATGCAATTTTACATACATTAATGTATGTAAATAAGTGGCGGTTAAAATTTGCAAAAATGACGGATTTTAGTCATTATTTATCATAGATAGTTTATTGATAGTTAATTCTCTTGTTCGTTAGTTATTATCAGTCAAATATTTTGTGATAAGATTATTACAATTTGTTTTAATCGAGTTACACGCATTCTTGTAATAAAAAAACAAACTCAAGTGATTTGAAATGAATTAAAAAGCGAAAATCGAAATATAAAAATAAGAAATAAATAAAATCACCATAATTAATTTATCGATCATTACATTTTATTGGCTTCGTAGATACATATAAAATTTAATAAATGATAAAAAAAAAATTTCCCCCATTATTATTGATTAATTACATAAATTGAACGATAGGGTGCAGCACCACCTTATATTATTACTCATCGATACAATTTTTTTTGGATTTTTTTTTGTCTCCCCCTCGATAAAAATGAAATGTAAAATAATAGTACGTAGATATAATTAAAATCAATATAATTAATAATAGTTTAAAGAAATAATCGTTATCATTATCATTATTATTTCACCCGAATATAAATTATATAATTAATTATTATTATCACCGGTAAACATTCGATTTATAATTAATGAATACCTTCGAGTTTCATTTTTCATATATAATAATAATAGTAATAATTAAATATTGTTTTAAATAATTAAACGTAATAGAAAATTAAATGGTGGTAGTGGTAGTGGTGGTAATGGTCGTGGTAGTAGCCAGAGAAACATGACGAAAATGTACATTATTGTCCACTTTTATAATTTTTTTTATTTTTTTCTAACAGTTTTGCAAACCCATTCCATTCCATCCTAGAAAACAAACAAGTTAAAAGAAGGATAAAGAAGTTAAATAAATGAATTACATACTTTAATCCCTTCTCCTCCGGATGCCGAACATGCCTGTATTTGCCAGGCACGATCTTTTATTCTATGAAGACCTAAACCTTCGGCGATTTCGCTAGCACTTGCTGCATGATATAAATCTTGTTTATTTGCATAAACTAATAATGGTACGTTTTTTAATTTATCTTCTTCTAAAAGCTCTGTTAATTCCGAACCTGTTTCGTTTAATCTTTTCCTATCCGCCGAATCTATAACGTATATCTTAAAACAAACAAACAATCAATCAATGCATATTTCATGGTTGCCTTTTACAAAATGGTAGTATAAATGGGGGGAAAGTATACCAGTACGTCAGTATTATCAAAATAATTTCTCCAATATGGCCTTATATTTCTTTGTCCACCAATATCCCAAACATTTAATTTAAAACCATCGCTTTGTACTGATTTTATATTGAAACCCTGTGTCGGTGTTATATGAGTCACATCTTCCGAAGCCAAAGCTTTTAATAATGTCGTTTTTCCAGCATTATCCAAACCTAATAATAATAATCTTAATTCTTTTTCCGGTGATGATTTTAACTTTCTCAATATCGATAATAAACCCTGCGAAACAAACAAACAAACAAACAAACAAAACAAACGCCACCGATTAAGAAAAAATTAATCCTGAGAAAATTTATATCAATTAATCTCTCTCTTACCATTATTTCAAAATTATTATTATTATTATTATTGTCGTTAATTAATTAATTAATTATTAACTTAAAATATATAAATAATTAATATGTTATTACAACAATAACAACAACAAACGAACAAACAACAAAAATTAAATTTTAATAAAACATTTAATGTTTGTGTGAAAATCACTCGGGGTGATGGGATACGTAAAAATCAAAATAAACAAACAAACCGAAGAAGAAAAAAAAGGGCGCGTAAAAAAATGTCTAATGACACGACCAAAAAAAAATGTAAACAAAAAATTGTACGTTCATGTTCATGAATTTATTTTTATTTCTTTTTTTTTTTTTGTATTAAATATTTTTAAAGGGAGAAATTTTTATTTTTATAAATATAAATAATAATAATAATAATAATAGTAATAATAATAATAATGATGATGATGGGTGACTAAAATTAAATTCAATAGAAAAGAAAAAAGAAAAAATTACAAAATTTTTCGAGAAATCGAATCGATTCGATTGTTTTCACCCTCTCCTCCCCTTCCCCCCCGAAAAAAAATTTATTATTATTATTAATATCACTAATAATAATAATGATCAAGGTTTTGCCCTTATTTTATCTTTTAGCGTAATTATAATTTAAAATTTTGTTTTTTTTTGTCTTTATTTCCCTTACAGGTATTTCATTCCCTCTCTTTCTCTCTCTCTTTCTTCACTTTGACATTTTCACGTTTTCCGTTTGTTGTTTTCATATAACTTTGGGCATGTTACCCTCATAACAACAACAACAACAACAACCACAACAACAATTAATTTGCCATCTAATTATTCCAAGTTTACAACATTTAAAAAAAAAAAAAAAAACCGTTTTCCGTTGGGGACTACAATTTTACCCTAAAAACTCATTCATTCAAGCATCAATAAATTTATTATTACATTGTATTAAACAATTAATTTATTACGTAACAAACAAATAAACAAACAAACAGACAAACGAACAAACAAACAAACAAACCTATATGATCTTTGTCTTTTATCCGATTATTTATTTTAATTAATAAAAATTTTTTTTTTTTTTTTTTTGAATTTTTTTCTCGCCATATTTTCATTTACGATTCTATACAAAAAAACTTCTAGAACATTCTTCATTATCTACACTAATGAATAAATAAAAATACGGTTAATGATAATGATAATAATAATAATATTTTTCTTTTTGTTTCGATCCGTTAAATTAAATAAATGAAAACCGTTAAAAATTTTAATTAATGCCAGAGAACCTTACAAACACGTGCGTGTGTGCGTGCGTGTGGGGGTGGGTGAATGCGCCCCCTGCAAAAATTCAAAAATTACAATTTAAAATTAAAAAAAAAAAAATTTTGAATAAAATTGTGAAAGTGACCTAAATACCTTAAAGTTAAATTTTACTCTTTATAATTGGAAAAAAGAAACAAACAAACAAACGGACGAAGGGTGGTAAAAAAATTTCAACCTTTTCTTTGTTCTTCGATAATGATTGTTTCAATAAATTATTATTATTATTATTATTAATGATAACATTACGTAATGTCGTTAACAAATTAAAGAAAAAAAAAAAAAGGTTCGTGGTGATATGTTAAACGTGATGATCAATTGATAATATTTTCCATCTCTCTCTCTCTCTCTCTTTTAATTATGTCTTTTTTTTCAACCCTTAATTATAAGTCGTTTTAATACTAAAGTTATTAAATTCCATTTTGTTGGATATTTAACGTCAAGTCCTTTTCATTAAATTGTCATTCGTGTCCAGAAGAAAGGTGAACACACAACAACATTAAGAAGAGGATAAGAAGAGTGCGTGAGTGCGTGCGCGTGAGTTAACAAAAACAATAAGAAATGGTGAGTTAATTGGGAAAATTTTTTTTTTTTTTTAATTTTTCTTTTTGGTTAAAATTTTGTTTTTTTGTAATTTTTTTATTTGTTTTCTTTTTTAAAAAGTTTTTCCAAGGGAAAACTTTTGTTTTTCTCCTATGCGTGTTCACTGTTGTGATCGACGCGACATTTTTATCATCGAGTTCCGATGCAAGTGGTTTAGGAGAAGAATTTGCAGAGAGAAGAACTTTTAAAAAACATGGCAAACCGTTGGGTCTTCTAAAAAAGAAAAAATTCGGAGGATGGCTCCCGCAATTGTTCGGAGGAGGAAACGTGGAAGAATATTCGAGTCGTCCTTTGGTACAAACGTCTTTGTCCACTCCCGTTTACAAAGTCCACAGATATCAAGGAGTTGAAGTTAAACCCGTGTCCGTGGCGGAAGTTTCTTTTCCAACTCCGAAACCAGTTGAAGAAGTTCATTCCGAAGAACATTCATCACACGATCATCATCAATTCGAATCATCATCGTTCAACAGTCACGATCATTCTTCTACTTTTGTTCATGGCGGTTCTCAAAATAACGGTCCCGATTGCGATCAACCTCAAACAACGATTCACGCACCGGCTTTCCCTCATTTTGCAACTAGTTTCAAACAACCCGTTTCCTTTGTATCATTACCACCTGTAACTCCTCAATTAACATCGACCCTAACCCTGGTAAGAGCACCTACTTTACCATCCGTACAATTCCCTCCGCCATTGCCCTCGTTTCAATTGCCTCCACCTTTGCCACCAGTTCAATTTCCCCCACCCTTGCCATCCATTCAATTCCCCATTCCCAATTTACCCTCTCTACCGTTTCCAACTCCAAATCCACCTTCCGTAGAATTGCCCCCACCAGCGGTCGAAGCACCAGCACCAACTTTGCCAGCCGTACAACTCCCCCCTCAGACCCCAGCTCTTGCTTTAAGATTGACTCCACTTAACCTTGCTCCACTCGTTACTCAAAAGACATCTCTGTCTCACCATTCAGATTTCCACCACCATTCTTTTGACGAACATAAACCTTCCCTTACTCCAGTAGTACCACCATATAATAATTTCCCAGTTCAAACGGTCACACCATCTCCTCCCGTTTTGCCACCGGTCCCATCATTTCCTCAAGTAACACCCGTCCCACCTGCCCCCGTATTACCACCAGTTCCTTTCCCCCCCGTAACACCTGTTCCATCCGCTCCCGTTTTACCACCAGTCGCTTTTCCCCCCGTAACACCCGTACCAGTGGCTCCAGTTTTACCACCAGTCTCATTCCCAACTGTAACACCTGCTCCTCTTCCTCCAGCTCCAGTTTTCCCAGCCTTCCCATCAACTCCTGCACCACCCGTTTTCACTGATCATCACGAGTCAGGACATTCTCATCATCATTCTCACGGACACAGGTAATTTATATGACTACTTTTTGTTTAAGTACCACGAAAAGAAATCACAATTTCACAAATTTCTTTTCTTTTCAGCGGTTTTCATTCCTTGCCAGAAAAATCTGAAGTTCCAGTAAGTGAATCCGTTTTAACCGTATCAGATCACGACGACAACAACAACAACAAACAATTCGAATCTCAAACAGGTTTTCTTCACAAGTTAAAAGATTGGAAAACCGAAAAAGCCACGGCAGCATTCAATCATCTTCACGCATTAAAACAACACAAATTTTCAGGATTTACCGATAAGACACCTTTTGATTCTTCCGCCGTCGTTCACCACCAATCTCCAGTTGTCCAAAATCCATCATTACCACCATTTCAATTTTCCCAACCGGTACCGGTACCACAACAACCATCGTCATTTTTCTTACCAACTCCAGTAAATTACGATAATTTTCCACCGAATCATTTTCAACCATCTTTAACGAACGGTTTCGGAGGACAACATTCCGGACAAAATTTTTACGACGAATCCCAACATAATAATCATCATCATTATCACGTTTCCGATCGAGTTTCATCGGCTACGGAAGAAAAATCATCAGTTGTTCCAGCTCCGCCATCATTTACTGAAAATGAAAAAGGAAATAATGATCAAATTGAATCGGAAACGGAAGTACGTCCGATTTTCGTACCAGATAATAATAATAATACCGAAGGTAATTTATAAACAAATTTTTTTTTTTTTTTTGTTTACAATAATAAATTATTTAATAAAAATAAAATAAAAAACATTTTTTCTTTTTATATATATATAGAAAGTAAAACTGGAGAAGAAAATGTGAAGAACGTTGTTGAAGAAGAACAAATCTTAACAAACGATGAACAAACAACTCAAACAACAATCGAACAAACTCAATCATCTTAATTTTGTTAAACAAATTTTGTTTTTTTTTTTATAATATTTATTTTTAAATAAAATTTTTACATATGTTTATTAACTAAAAAAAAATGTTTTGTTCTTTTCTAATCTTCTCCAGTCTTTCCATCTCTCTCTCTCTCTCTCTCTCTCTCTCTCACAACAGGTACACATCATACACGTGGGTAACATAGTAATAATAATAATAATAATAATAATTTCAAAAGTTTTCTCAACTTTTATCGAATCCATCCATGGGAATTTTCAATGTGGTTTCAAATCGAATATTTCTATGAGTAAAGGTTCTATTTCTCTTGGATTTGCATCCAAATAAACCCGAACGTGATCTTCGTTCAATTTATGAAGCTCTGATATTTTGTGAATGAGTTTCAAAAAAGTCAATCTCGCTTCGCAACCCTGATAAACGCTTTCCAAATATCGTCGCAAAAGATAATAATAAGAATTCTAGAAAAAAAGAAAACGAAACGTTATTATAATAATATTATCATTATTATTATTTATTAATATCCATCATCAACAACCTGTTCCAATTTGATGACGTCAAAATGAACGACTCTCGGCCTGTCGGGAGTGAACAAAGCAATGGCGGATAGTATCAACATAATGTTTTCGTCGTTTCGCCATTTTTGATCGAATGTTTGTAAAAACCTTTGATGCTCTTCGAAAACCCTTCCACCGGCCTCTTTGAGTATGTCCACTTTTATGTTCATTAATTTTTCTTTGCTTTGAGGAATCTGAAAAACGTTAAGTGCACGATAGTGATGATGTATACAAACGAAACTAAAAGACCACGAAACAACGACAAACAACAACGACAGGTGCCTTTAAACAAACAAATTATTTCGTTCAAGTATAGTGTCGAACATGCAGTGTTACCAATGTCATCGCTCCCACGGATAGTCCGTCGTTAATGACACGAATAAAAAAAAAAATTTTTTTTTTTTTTGCTTACTTTCCACGAATCCCTGTCGGGATCGTATGTCATTGCTGACCGAAGTATCATCATCTCGGTGCAACCACCTTTAAGCAATGCAATTTGATCGTCTTGACACATATTTTTAAACGCGTTTATTTTTTTCGACATTTTTATCAATCGTCGAATTGCGACCGCAGTCAAATTTAAAACGTCGACGAGTACGGAAGGACCGCAGCCAGCCATCGCCTGGAAATTAATTATTATTATTATTATTACTTTTCCTTATTATTACGCATTAAAAGAAAATATGAATAAACGAACGTTAACGTTAAAACCGAAATCATCTCCTGATAGATCATCTTCCAGTGGTGCCAACAAAGCTTTGTTCGCAACGATCAATTCGTTGAGTTTTGCTCTTTCGGCATCGTTTAATTCTCTGCTGCTCGCTCTCGAATTCATCGACGAATAGGCTTCGTATTCGAGTTTTATCGCTTCCGATAGTATCGAATCGATCGAATTTGTCAGGCAGAGAGGTGTGGAATTCCTGCGAATAGAATTATTTAAATTAAACATTGACAGAGAGGATATAAATCGTGATTAAAAATTTGAAAACTTGCCTTGGAATGTCTTTGAATATGTCTTCTGCTATGTTTTTAGTCAGGGAACCATTTTGAATTTCTTCGGAAGATGCCGTTGGATTCATTAACGATGATAAAAGTGGAGTCGTATCATCATTATTATCACAATTTCTATGTAAAATCATATCTCGAACTGTTTTCTTATAAGAAGAAGAAGAAGAAGAAGATTTTTCTTTTGTATTTCTTCTTCGTATGAGCGAATCTTTGCTTATCATTAAAAATTTCTTATCACCTTTTTTAGACTCCATTAAAAAATTTTCATCGTTTTTGGCAAGTTCTAGTATATCCGCTTCCGTTATCATGTAATCACTTCCGACGTAAAATTTATCCTTGTAAAAACAATGTCTCTCATCATCGTTTTGTCTTATAACCGTCGAATTTGTATAAACTTCCGACGGTTTTGAAAATTCCGAATCCAAAACAATTTTAATTATGTTCGAATCTAAAAATCTTTTGTGTTCTACGACTTCCGGTGATTTCCTTTCCCCTTTCGATTTCGATATTTGATAAATTTCAACGGATCTCGATTCGTTTGTATCGAGACAATTTTTTTTTTCTTCATTGAATACGTTACAAGTTCTAGATTCCGTAACGGTTTCCGGGGAAGATGATTCCGGAAGACTTGGGGAAGGAAACGGAAGTACGGATTCCATGTTGGATTGTTTGAAATGTTTTTTCTTATACGTTTTCTTTGACGTGGAAGCCATGTTTAATAAATTAATATTAACGATTTTTTTTTTATCATTTTGATATTTTTTCATCACATCTCCTTCGTCGCAAACATTCTCTTCTTCTTCGATTTTAAATTTAATTAATTTTTCTTTGGGTTGTTGTTCCATCGAAGAACACGTTTCCATTCCTCTCACATCCGGTGATGATCTTTTTATTGCTCGATTTTTTTCTATTTTTTTACGCTTTTCCAATTTATCATCTTCCGACATTATGTATTCCTTTCTCATACCTATTTCAAAACATTTTATGAGCCTGCACAATTGGCAAAACCTTCTTGTCACCGGATTAATGATGCATTTTTTATTAAATGGACATTTGAATTCCTGAAAAAATAATAATAATAATAATAATAATTTAAACTTGAGCAAAATGTGTGTAATGAACCATGACACACATACCTAAAACAAAACCGTACAATAATAATAATAATAACAACCTAAATACTTATAAACTAAATCCAGACAAACATTATTCAAATTTGGAATTACATTACGACATTAATGAAAGCACAGATGATGATGATGCACACATTCTTATCGAACACACACACACACACACACACACACACACACATACACACACATACACACATCATGTGAAAATTCAATAAATACTTTAAGGTATTGAATTTGAAAGAAAAAATTTTCCAACGGTATTTCTAAAGGTATTTAAACAAAAAATATAAACAATATGTTGTCGTCTCATGTGTTGAAAAAAAAAAAAAAAAAAAACTCATGTTTTGTCGACACAACTTGAATACATAAAAAAAATTTATATCAGCAAAATAAATCCTTACTAATTATTATTATTATTATTAATTTTTAATTAAAAGCATTTAATGTTTTAAGATTAAAAAAAAAATTACACACACACAATTTGCAAACATAATAATAATAATAATTATATTAAAATGCAAATTAATCGAAAAAAAAAAAAGATTTTTATTTTAATTTTTTTTTTTTTTTTTCGAAAGGAAAATGAAAATGAAAAACATTTAAGTTTTCGATTATGATGATGATGATGATGATAATGATGATGTGAATTACTGTAGGGGAAATGAATCAATGAATGTTTTTGGATTTGAATCGAAAAAAAAAAAATGACTAAATTTGTATGAAAAAAAAAAAAACGATAGGAAATGGAAATTGAACATTGATAATAATGTTTTTTTTTCCTCATATGAAATAAATTCCTAATTTTGTTATTTTGTTTTCATATAGAAATCTAAAACAAATAATAATAATAACAATAATAATATTTATTAATCGACACGGTTTAAATCTGTTTAATGAGATTTAAGGAACAGTTTTTAATAAAAACTTTCCTTGAGCCACTTTAATTTATTTATATTAAACAAATTATTTTACCTTATTTTTGAGGGCATTCCTTCTGAAAAATGCTTTGCATGATTCACATGTTATGGCATTAAAATTATAACCGAGTGCTTTGTCACCACAAACTTTACATATTTTTTCTCTCGAACAATTATTAACCAATTCTACTTCTGTATCTCCTCTTTTACAATCTTCAGAATTCATGTCTGCACATCTGTCGATACATAAAATATCAAAAGGTTATGAAATGAAATATACAAAACATTAATTAATCCAAACTTTTTTCCTTAAGAGATAAACTTTGATTATTTATTAATAAATCATAAAATTATGAATGATTACAAAATTAACAACATGATGATGATTGCATGAGAGAGAAGGCACTGATAATACAAAAGTAAAATTATTGCACGGTTTATATTGTTTTTAAAATATAAAATTACAAAAAAAAAATGAAACAAAGAGTTGTTAATAGATTCAAAATTATGTATGTAATTTTAAAAAAAAAAAAAAGTAATAATTTACCTTGAATTCAATAAAAAATTTTAATTAAAGGTATTTCCATTAAATTATTATTTATCTTAAATACGTATCATCGTTTTATACCGATTGCTGTCGAAGAGATAAGCATTCCAAGTGACCCAAGGCTTAATTTCATGTACGCCGCCATTTTGAGTTTTAGTAACTTTGTGTCGTTAAGCTTCTCTAAGCGTTAAATTAACAAAAGTTAAATTTTTTTCTTTTTTCTTTGTCTAAACTTCATTTTTTTTTTTTGTTAAAGTGATTTCATTTCGTTTTCGAATTGAAAAACAAAAACAATGTGTATTATTTTACATAAAAATCTACGAATTAATATTGAATCATGTAAAAAATAAAAATTCAAAAATTTTGATTCGAATGTTTATTGGTAAATAAAATAACAATAATTATTTATTAAATAACGAAATTAATAAAATGGCTACCGATAAATTTATTAAGTTTTTATATAATTAATGAAGTTTATGAAATAAATACCGCAGAATTCGCAAAGAGAAAAACAAAAGAAAACAATAAAAACTGAATATTTCCATTGTAAGTATTAACGAACTTTCTTATGACTAAACTTCCTGTTTCCGGTTTTAACCGGTTTGGCAAAAATAAAAAACTTTCATGATAATTATAAATTGAAAATTTATTATTTAATAATAATAATAATATTCGAGGGAAAAAAAATTTCTTAAACGGAAAAAAAAAAATAATAATAATAATAAATAAACTTTTCGAAATGGTGTCAGTTAAACGAATTTTTTTTTTTTAAATTGTTTAAATTTCTCACGATTCAAGGCCGTTTAATAAATAAATAATCGCGGGCAAAATAATTTTCCTTTTTTTTTTTTTTGCTAAGCTCAGGTATTTTTTATTTATTTTGTTTTTCGACATAATAATAATAATAATAATAATAATAATAATAATAATATCGTCTGCTAGACTATGTGTTATACACAGGGTGTTCGAATATTTTAATCATTTCATTTTATCGTTATTAAAAAAGGAAAAAATCGAGATTCGTTAACGCGAATCCACATTCAAATTTAAATTTCCCGCCAAAAAATCAAAACCTAAAGAGAAAAAAAAACCCGATGGCGCACTCCCGCGTTTTTTAAATGAATTAATTACGTAAACATAACGTATTAGAGATTAATATTAAGCTTTCGATTAGCGTCGGCCATTTTGTTTTCTTTTTGAAAAAAGTTTTCGGATGGAATACGTTGGAGAAAAAAATTTCTTTTTTTTTTTTCTTATTAATTCTGTATATAAGACGATTGTTTGTGTTTGTTGTTGTTGTTATTATTATTATTATTAGTATTACGAAATAAAAAAAATTTTATTAAACAATTCTACTTTATTGTTTTTGTTATTATTATTAATAGAATAACAATAATTAGGCTAATAATGGTCAGACAACAAAAAAAATTTAGTCTTAACTACTTCAATGAATTAATTTTATTATTAATCGTGTTTTATCATCGGTCGGAGAAAGAAGTAAAAAAATAAAAAGAAATTATTTATTATTAATTAATTTATTATTATATCATTTAAATAATATTAAGGTAAGTTTTTCATTATTTATTTCTTTTGTAAAAAATTTAATATTATGTAAAAATGGCCGACGTTTATGCGTTTGTCAATTGTTTTTCCGTTAAGTTTTAAAAAATAAATTTAATAATTTTTACAGTTATGAATAAACCGCAATGAGAAAACTCACGGATATTTTATTGATAACGTTATTAATAATAAATTCAAGTTTATCACTTGAACCAATACCATATTCAATAAATACTAAAAAATGGAGTCACGTTTTGGATGATCATTTTATAAGTATAACAATTAATCCGACGGATTTATTACAAGGGAGAGTTTTCGGGTATGTTTATTTTATATACGTCAACCCTTATCCCAACCACTCCAACCCCCACACCACCCCAACCACCCACTCATGGGAAAATTCTTTTTTTCTAGTTTGACAATGAATTCAACAATGGCCATACTCAAGGGTCTATCACCTGCTTACATAAGAATCGGTAGCGCAGATACAGCAAAATACACGTTTAAAAAAACTCGACATTTAAATGATATGATAAAACCAGAAGATGAATATACAGTTACTGGTAAATTGAATCTATATGCGTTTGTTTGTTTGTTTGTTAGTTGAAAATTGTATTAAAATTTTGTATGTGTTTGTGTGTTGTAGAAAGTCATTGGATGGTTTTTAACGAAGTGGCACAAACGGCTGGTTTAAACGTCATTGTTTGTCTTAATGCCGCACATAGAATTGATGGTACTAAAAAATGGGATACGAGAAATTCATTGGAATTGATATCGTTTTCCGATAGTCAGGGATATAATTTAACGTGGCAATTGGGTTACGGTTAGAATTCATTTTTTTTTTTTTTTCTACTTCCACGATAAAAAATTTTTTATTAATTTTTGTGCTTTTTTGTTACGCAGAAATTCAAAGTAGCGATGATTTATCGGGTATACAATTTGGTAAAGATTTAAATAGGTTAAGAACGATATTAAATGCATTTCCGAGATATCAAAATTCAAAATTGATCGGTCCCGATATAAAAATAATACATAAAAAAGAAGATGTCGATTTTTGGAATGACGTTTTAATAGAAGCTGGACCAACATTGGATGCTGTCACGTGGCACCCGTAAGATTTCATCACAAATTTTCTTTTCTTTTTGGGTCAAAAAAAATTACCTTTTTGATTTTTCCACGTTTGTTTCTTTTCGTTTTAGGAGATGGCCTCAACCTAGTAAAATGAAAGTATCGGAAAATTCCGAATTAGGCTACGAATTTCCCGTTGATTATTTAGAATGGGATAGAATGCAATTGAATAAAATATTACAGAGAACGATTTTTAAAAATCCAATATGGATAGGTAAGTAATTTTCTTTTTGGAAAATTTTTTTCCGTAAAATAATTTTCCAGTCCTTAAATTTTTCTTTAATGTTATTTAGGAGAAACTAAAAGGGAAAGCACGGGTACTTTTGCCGAAGGACTCATTTGGGCCAAAAGGTTAGCATTGGCTGCCAAAGTCGGCGTCGAAGTTGTCATGAAACAACCTAATTTGATGGATATAACACATCCTAAACCGGTAAGTGAATAAATCATTTTATATTTCTTCCTTTTATTTGTACACACAATTAAATGATTTGTTTTTGTGTGTTCCCGAAGGAATACTGGATAGCTTTGCTTCACAAGCGACTTTTGGGAAAAGCAGTTTTAGAAACGAGGAGCGTAACTAACAACACGGATATAACCGTCATTTCTCATTGTACGAATCCGTATTATTGGACGGACAAACCGGAAAAATTACAAGATGGACCCATAACAATCTACGGCATCAACATGGGCGGTTTAGAACAAAAAATACAAATAAAAGGAATATTAACGGGTAGATCACAATTGGTGTTTCAATACGTATTAACTTCCGGTACGGATCCGGATTCTGTATTTTCACAGTTAGTATTATTTTACGAAAATTGATTCAATTTTAACCGGAAATACGTCTTTGATTTTTGTAATCCGACATTTAAATTTTGTATTAGGATGACGTATTTGAACGGTGAGCCTCTCATGATGACGGATGAAGGAATGCTTCCAACAATAATACCAAAAATTAAAAAATTCGAAAGGAGTTTGAGTATGAAATTACCACCTTATTCTATTGGATTTTGGGTATTGCCCGAAGCAAAGGTGATTACCAACTATCGAAAAGCAAAAAAAAACCGGAAATGACGTTTTTTTTTAACAAAAAAAAATTTCCTTTTGTTTCCTTTCAGGTTAAAATTTGTCAGGTACAAACGCAAAATTTACCAACGGTCAATATCGAAACAATGACGCCATCTTCGGTGCAAAAATCACAACAGAACACACTTAAAAACATCGAAGACATAAATCAATTCATGGTTGAAAAATTAAAAAATCCAGAAGGGGAAAGTACGGAAATGCCCGAGATTAAAATCGAAGAAGTCGATTCGTCGTCCGAAAGTTCGGAAAAAGAATTGAATTCCCTCGTGAAAGACAATAATAATAATAATAATAGTCCGAGAATAGCGAGAAAAATCAGACAGGTTAAACATTCCGATGAAATACAACAGCTCAAAGCCATGATGCTCGATACACAAAACATTTTCACACTTCCGGAAAACGAAAGAAACGAACAAGTTAAAATGTCGTTTCCGAAAGCGGCGACACCGGAAATGGAACGAAGAATATATAAGATAGCAGAAGGAATAAGCGACGCGATGAAAACGTCGAATCAACAACACGAATTCGATAAATTTCTAGAAGATTCCGGTTTGAAACAAGATTTTGGAAGTTTGCTCGTTGCCGATAGACGCGTAAACGCACCAACCGGTTCGAAACATTATCAAACATACGAACCATCCTCTCAAATTCCGGATATGGATAAAATGAGATTTACAAGATCCATTTCCGGAGGAGAAGAAGAAGAGAAATCATCGGAAGAAAATTTAAAATTTGAAAAATTATTATTATCATCGATCGAAGACGATGAAGAAGAGGAAAATGATGGGAAAAAAAAACAAAAAAAAAAAAATCTCGTCATACCCCTTCAACCCGATTTGAAAGGTTTGGAAGAAAAATACAAAGCTTTGCTGCAAATAAAACTCGAAGATGGTAAAAGAAAATTTGACGATTTGAAAAAAAAACTCAACAAACAAAATGGAACGGAAATGAATTTTCTCAACGACGACAACACGAAAAACATCGAAGAAGAAATAATAAAAAAAGAAATCGAATTGATATCGAAAGCGGAAGAAACCGTTGCCGACATATTTAAAAATCAAAAAAAACGACAGGAAACACTCGAAGATTTGATAATTGACGAACTCAACGATGTCAAAGATGAAAGAATGAACGCATTGGCCGACATACAAAAAAATAATAATAATAAAAAAAAAGACAACGTCATACGTAAACGACAAACTCAAACCCCTTTGTCTAGACCACTGTCGAAAACCGTGGAATACATAGAAAAAAATTTCGATTTGGAACCGGAAAGTGTTAAAAAAATAAAAAGGAGTCTGGAAGAAAAAATGAGCGAAATACTTAAAAATTACGACGTTAAAAGAAGTTCGGAAATGAAAAAGAGAAATCCGTCGTCGCAAAAAGAAGAACGTGGTAGAATGTCACGTCGAACGGATGATTCCGAAACGGAAGAAAAACAAAGAAAAAAAATATCCGATGTGAAAAATTCGAAACATTTCGATATATCGACGGATCGAGATGGCGGTGGAAAAATAAGAAATACGATGAGAAAACCATTGAAAAACAGTAGAAAACAACAACATTCCGTCAAAGAATTCAACGGAAATGAAAAGGAAATAACGGAAAAATCAAATGATAATAATAATAATAATAATAATGATTCTTTTGAACTTTTCAATTCTAAGAAATTTGAAATTCCGGAAAATTCTAAGAAAATGGAAAGGAAACAAGAAACCCGGATGAAATCTAATAAAAAATCATCTGATGAAAATTCACATTCTTCCGTGTCGTCATCGTCGTCGTCTGATAAAATATCCGAGTCCGATGTTAAACACGGGGAGACGAATAATAACGAAGAAAAAATAGAAAAAGACGACGTTCCCATCAAATTGGACAAGAATAGAAGAGAAACAATGTTGAAACAAATAAGTAGCATCGTCGATAACATGCATTCCGGGGAAAACGATTACGACAGATTGAAGAGGATGAATAACGATGAAGATGATTTAAGTACGGAATTCGAACCCGATAGAAGATCAAGTAGAATTATAAGAAGGCCGAGACAAGCAGACGACGGTGAAATTAAGGTTAAAAACGATGAAATTATTAAAGAAAAATTTCCCAGCCTCATGAAATATGATGATGATGGCGGCGAGTCAGATGGTAAAATTCAAACAATGACCGATTCGGGAATCATTCAAAATAACGACAAACCTCCTTTAATGGACACCGTTCGTGAAAAAACACCCGTGAACATTGAAGACATGAAGAAAAATCCTGAAGATGGTACTTTAACGGTAACCGAAAAGATGGAAGATAGAGTACAAGCTTCTCCGATTTCCACAACATCTGCACCGATTCTAACGACAACGACATCGATTCCTACTACGACGGCAGCACCCATAATGGCAACTGCCATGCCAACTTCTCCTACGACTACACCTGCACCACCGATTACGCAACCCTCGACGACTCCTTCACCGACCACCGAAGTTTCAACCAGCAAAAAACGTAGCAGAGTAAGAAGAATACGAAAGAGACCGAATAGAAAACCTAAAACTGCTGTCGTGGTAGAAGGAGAAGAAGGTGGACAGAAAAAGAGACATCTGTTGGGAATCGAACGTCCTCATCACGATGCCGATAAGAAGAAATTGGTACTTCCGAAATTAAGAAAAATAAATCCGAAATTTGCACGATTTGGAAATGAACCCGCTAACGAAAAGAAGTCGGTCGATGTGTTAAAGAACGATGAAAAGATGATGACGGAACCATCATTGTTTAAAGAAGAGACTCGAGAAAAACCGCGGGAAATTCAAATCCCAACTGATACTCCGTCCATGATTATGAACAGAAACGAAGAATTATTAAAAGACATACAAAAAATTGTTGACGAAGAACATTTTTTAGAACAGAATTCAAAAATCGAAAACGACAAATTAAAAACGAATGGAAAAGAATTTTCAAAAGAAATCGAGAATTCAATGATTTGGCCAAAAGCAACCACAGAAGATTACGCGAAAATGATGGCAACAGCGACAACAGCAACAGCAACAACAGCTAAAATGCAAGACGAAGATGATTCAATGATGAAATCCTCACAACAAATTCTCACCGGAGAAACGGGAGATGAACAAAAAAAAAAAAAAATCATTCCAGACGATGACGATGACGATGACGGGATCATCACGACAGAAAGTGAATTTAAAGTTGGACAAAAACCACCGAAAACAGAAAATTTTAAAGAAAATAAATCAAAGAAAACAATACAATCGAGAACTACGGAATCTGCGCAGTCGTTTGAAAACATTGATTTTTGGTCGGAAGAAAATTCTGCTGAAGTGACTCACAGCAGCGAAGAAGCAGAAGAAGAAGAAGAAAGAAACATGATCGATTCGGAAAATATTAAAATGAAAAAAAAAAAAATAACTGATGGACCTTTCAACGGTTTGAGAAAACGTCGTGCAACTTTTTTCAACGCTAAAAAAAATGACAACGAAAACGAAGAAGATGATTATTCCTCCGAAGAAAGGATAAAAAGGTTCAAACAAATGGTTTATCGAAAGGCTCCACCGACACCACCTGCGAAAAGAACCCTTAAAAATGACATACATTCCATAAGTAACAGTTTGGGAGCCGACGAATTTCTTCGAATGGCCGGTTCCACGGTACGAGTTATGTTTGATGACGTCATACCGGAAGCCTACGGACAAACGAAATTAAAAATACAAAACATGGGATTGTCGGAATACATAAAAGAATTTGGAAATCTCGTTCAGCAAATGAGAAATTTAGATCAGATTTTTTTAAACATCGGTGAAGCTGCCGTCAAGGGTTACATAAGAGGAAACAAACCGGAAAAAGGACCCAACATTCAAATCATATCGAGAAAGAAAAGAGATGTCGGAATGACGGAGGGATACGGAAACAGCGAAGAAAATCCGTGGAATGAATCCGCGAATGACGATCCACCCTCAATCGAAATGAAAACTCCAACACTGGCATCGTTGGAAGAACTTGAGACTCCCGCGGGAAAAGGGTACGTCGGAGAGGTGGGTACGTATGGGAGTTCTGAAGGAAACGAAGAATATGCGAGGACTAGCACGCAAGAAACGATCCCTGTTACTACCGGAAGACGGGATAATTGGAACGTTAAAAAATCTTGGAATGGGTTTGGGACGATGGTTTCATCAGATAATGAAACCGGGAATAAAAATATGGAACCGAGTGAGGACAAGAAGACCCTGGAAACGATTCAGAAGTCGACGACTCCTGTTTTAAATCGGGATGATGTCGATGATAAATTTCCAAAGGGGTTGACGACGGGAAAAAGAGACGTCGATCAACAAATGAAATCGAAAATAAAAGATTCGTCGTCGGGAAACGTCGCCGTTAATAAAAAACCAAATTTGAAATATCAAAAAAAATTAACCGACGATCAAATAAAAACGATATTGCAAGACAAAGCCGTCACGGATTGGTTAAATTCGTACATAAAAGATGACCTCAAAGAAAATATAACACCCTGGATAAAAACGACAAAAGATTTTATACAGCAAGCTCTGACGACACTTCAAAGGCAAAGACAACTCTCGGAAATACTTAAAAAAGACGCCAATAATAAAATAAAAGACTCGCAAAAAAATTTGGGAAAAAGAGAAATCGTTGACGATGTGAATCCATCACTTCCGGTTTATCACATGATTTCACCATCGTTGAACAAAAAACGGGAAACGAAAAAACAAACGGAAGAAAGTTTGATACGTCACTTGAGAGAATTACAACCGGGGGTTTACGTCGTACCAACGGACGACATGACGAACGTGAGATCCGAACAGTTCACGAACGAAGCAAAAGACAAAACGGGAGTCCCTAACGTCGTCACCCTAAACATTTACTACGATAAAAAAAATCAGGGAGACGCGGAAAAGGGTGAAGCAAAGGAAAACGCGGAGCCGCGTATCAGTCAGGACACCGTGACGTACTATCAGAACAAAGCCTGGAATTCCGTGGCGAGTCACTACGATCAAAACAATCAATTCGTATCCCCGATAGGAGTCCAGGAAATGCCGATGGTTGCACCCGTACACGTGACACCCGTGTTCGCACCCGATCCGAGAGTAGCCGAACCTCCACCGAATTCTCGTCTCATACAATATCCGGCAACTAATTATCATTATCCTCCGACGCAAAAAATCATAACATCCGTCGTTCCGAACCCGATGATGAGTCCCGTTCTCTACGTTCAACCGGAAACGACATTCATACCTCAAACTCCCGAAACTAAAAGCAGGTGGCGAAATTTTAAAGTTCCTGGAACGGGATTGCCGACGGGACCTTCTAATTTCAATTCCGGATGGAATTTGCAATTTGGTACCCCACCGGCCACGTCGAAAAAAATTCCAAAAAGTAAACTTTTGACTTCTTCGTCCTACAACCCTCATTTTAAATCGTTGAGCGATAAAAAACGATCCGTTGGTAATTTTAAATTGACTCCCCAATGGTCGGAGACTGCTATACCATTTTGGAACTTTTTCGAACCTTTATCGGAGGAACAAGAAGACAACGTCGAATCGTCCGTAGAAGAAAACGAAAAGGAAACCGTTGGAAAAATCGATTCGGAAGATATCATTGCTGAAAATCGTAAACTCGTCGAAGAAGAATCTATGAAAAATAACGATAAAAAATCGGAAACGGAAATGAAAGAATCGGAAACGAATAAAGAAATCAAACAACAACCGGAAGAAGAAGTAGAAGTAGAAGAAGAAGTTGATGGAAAAAAAGATGAAAATAGAAGAAAACGTTCTGTCGATTACTGGAAAGATTTTGAAAGAACGAAAAGATCTTCTTATCCATACGGTGTAGAATTTCAAGAACACGACATACTTCCTCAATGGTTTGGAACTTATCAACAACTCGATAACACTCTCGACGATTTCGCTCCACACATCAGACGATCGCATATAGTGTCGACACCCTGGTCCGACGAAGAAGAAGAATTGTTATCGACTTTACTCGAAGCAGACGACGATTTAGGTTTATTCGATTTACCTGACGAAGATTATTATTTTTCAAACGACAACGCGTTACCCAGATACAGGAGACATCCAAGAAGCACCGACGTCAAAGACAGTCCGTCGATAAAAACAAACATGATAATGAAATCAACGAAAAACAACAACAACAACGCCGAAGATGAAAACAAAACGAAAACAAAAACCGGACTCAAAAGTCTAATAGGAAAAGATAGTTCCCTGGAAATAATGACAGACACGAAAATGAAAAACCCGAGACCGACACCGCTTGAAATAAAAAAAAAAATCCAACAACAAATCCAACAACAGCAGCTACAACAGCAGCTGCAACAACAGCTACAACAACCGCAACAACAGCAACAACCACAACAAACAACAGAACAAATCGATCAATCGAACATGATAACAAATCAAATTCCGATTCCTCCTCCAGCCGCTGGAGCTTTATCAATGTTTTTCCAACCGATACCATTTCAACAACCAATTGGAGGAATTCCAATGCCTAATGACACGACGGATATGAAAAAAATACAAAACGACGAAGCTTTTTATTATTTTTTTAAATACGCCTATGATTCATTCGTTAGAGTCATGAAAAGCATGACAGAATTATTTTAATTTATTTATTATTATTAATATTATTATTAATTTATTTTTTTTATATTAATATAAATATTTTTTTCTTCTTCTATTTGATTGTTTTTTTTTTTTTTATTCTAAAACCCGAAATTAAACGAGAATACTCGAAAATAACCGAATATACCCGATAGACTTAAAAAAAAAAATTTATTCATTTCCCATAAGGTAAATAATAAAACTCGAGTAATTTTCCCTCTATCGTATTTCAAACTTATTTTCCCGCGCTTTTTTTTTATAGAACGCTATAAAATGAAATTATAGAGCGTTATAAACGTTAAAACTGTTGCTTTTTCATCCATATTTTCTTATTTCCGACAAAGAGAAAAAATTTATTTGTATTCGTTTTCTACGCATTTGGCGCTATAAAATTTTTTTTTTTTTATAGACTATAAAATAAAATTTAAATTTCCCCTCCCCCCTTTTTTTATAAAACGCTATAACCGTGTCAAAAGGTCATTTTCACATTTTTAAAAATTTTGAACGCCTTTTTTTTGTTTCTAACCCCATTTTCGAACGCATTTCCCCACCCACACTTTAAACCAAACCCGACGATGATGATGATGATGATGATAATACTAAAACACGTCACCCCCTTAAATATTATTATTATTATTATCATTTATTAAACGAGGAAGGTAGGGGAGAGAGAGGGGGGGAATCCTTGCTACATTTTAAAACGTCGCCTAAAAAAAAAAAAAACCAAAACCAATCGGCGGTGTTTAATGTATATTATTATTATTATTATTATTATTAATTAAACTTCCTGGATGCGACCCTGATTCGTATGGCCTGCAAAACGATACTGACAAATAAATAAAAAACAAATAATTGCTTATACGTTCAAATAGTAATAATAATAATAATAATAATAATTCGGGTTTAACAGTCGTTGCTGAAAATTCATTTATTATAATTTTCGATTTTCGCAAGTGATGAGTGAAAATTTTTTTCTATAATGATAATAAGTAATAATAATAATAATAATAATAATAATAATCAAAGAAAGTGATATTAAAAATTCTTTTTAATTTTTTTAAAAATACGACTCGCGTGTCAAAGGTCATTCTTTTTTTTTTTTTGTAATTATAATGACGGTGGTAACGACAATTTTGAATAAATTAAAAATGAGTAAAATATTATTATTATTATTGTTAATAATGATGGTAAACGAGGATGCGTTAGTGAAATGTTCATCCATAAGGAACAGAAATGTTAAAAATGACGTCACGTCGATGCCGAACGGAAAAAATTTACCGGATTTTCATAAAAAAGATGTAATCGGGACTAGTAGTAGTAATAATAATAATAATAATTTGAAAATAATAAGCAACGAACCGTTCATAATACAATTGGAAACGGCGAACGGATCGAACAAGAATAAAAAATTCACGGAAAAATTAAATAAAAATTCTAAAAAATCATCGAAAAAAAGGTAATTATCATTATCATTATCATTATCATCATTATCATCATCATTTCCTGTTTTACGTTTCCCGTCTTTTTAAAATTTTCCGAAATAATTTATTTCCGGTTCGTATTAATCCTTTTCCCTATCATCATCATCATAATCATTTCCGAGAATTTACTTGTTTCCCCTTCCTCCTTCCCCTCACCTCCCCTACTTCCGGAAACGAAATAATAATAATAATTAAATTAATGTTGACGTCATTAAAAAATTATCATCATCATCATCATTAATATTTTTAAGAAAATTTCTACAACTTTTTTTTTTTAAATAATTTTCCGACTGTTTTTCCGATTCTTGAGGGGAGAAAGAGAGAGAGAGAGAGAGAGAGAGAGAGAGAGAGAGAGAGAGAGAGAGAGAGAGAGAGAGAGAGAGAGAGAGAAAAACAATCAAATTTAACGAAATTGTTTGTTGTTTGTTTTAACACATTTAAAACGTTTTTTTTTTTTTTTTAATACACTACGGGTAACGAACGATCGAAACGGAAACAAAAAAAAAATTCAAACGTCAGCAAAAACGTTTTTTGCTAACGTTTAATAAATCCGTTAAATATTTGTTTATTAAAAGAAAAAAGGCGCTATATAGCACTATATATAAATTTTCTTTTTATTTATTTATTTATTTACCCCCTCTCCTCTACATTCCCCTCTTTTCCCTCCCTACCCTCAACCCCCTTTTTTTGTTTACTCTTGCCTAAACGTCATATTATTATTATTAAAAATAATAATAAACTCTTTTTTTAAGTGTGCCAAATAATATGGGTTACATAAATAAATAAATAATTTTTTTTTTTTTGTAACGCCTTTTTTAATAGCCGCGAAAACAAACAAACAACAAACAAAAAACAATCAATGAATAATAATAATAATAATAATAGGAGGAAACGTTACAAATAATAAAAAACTTACTTTTTAATAAAAAACAATGACGTCGTGTTGTGACAAGTATCAACGTAACAAAATATTTTAACGAAATAATTTTTCTTATCCACCATTTTGTGATAACGCGAGAGTTTGTACCTACTCACACACAAACACACACAATGCAAGTGATTAAAATTGTACGAAACGAATAACGAAATCCCCCCCCCTCGTTTCCCCCACAAAAAGTTTTTTGAAAAAGGTCGAACGAACAATCTCCCCTTGCCTGTTTGCCTGTTTGCCAGCCTGCCTTCCAGCCTCCCTGCCTGACTTGAAATAAAGTCGTAAAATCTTTTACGATGAAAAAAAAGAGAGAAAGAGAGAGAGAGAAAATGAAAATAAAAACTTGAAAGGGGGGGGTGATGAAAAGAGAGAGAGATAGAGAGAGAAAAACTGTAAAATTCCTTCCTTCCTTCCTTTTTTAATGGAAAATGAATTCGATGCTGTAACAAAAAAAGGTTGGGGGAGAGAGAGAGAAAGGGAGGGAGGGAGCGAGCGAGAGGGGGGCATCACGATGGAATGTTATAAAATGTTCTAGAAAGTTCTTTATAAAAATTCTTCGTTCCAGAAATTTCCATGTAGAAGAGAAAAACAAAAAAAAAATTATTTTAATTTATTAAAAAGTAATAAATTTTTTTTTAAATAAATGCTATAATAATATAGAACTATAAAAAACTATAAAAAATGGGGCTAGTAATGACGTCATAAAAATAAAAAAAAAATTTTCTTTTACGATCTGGAATAAGCAGGAATAATACCGGGCATGACCAGACGCTGTTGTTGTTGCTGTTATTGTCGATTATCATTATTATTATTTTCCCTCCCTCTCTTGTTTATAAAAATCAGTAGCGTATTAAAGAGTAAATTTTTTTTTTTTTTTTAGGTTGGCAAAATTTAAAAACGTTAGAAAAAGATATAGATTAAGACGAGATGTAAAAGATGAATTTTTCCCCGGGAGAGAACAACCCCTAAATCCAGGTATTAATTTTTTTTCTCTCAATTAATTAAATTAAACGAGACAGCAAAACGAAAAAACTAAAACCTTTTTTTTTTTTTTTTAATTTCGACAGCAGACGAAACAACCCTTATTAATAATAATAATAATAATGGTGATGATAACGATTTGAAAAATATAAAAAGATGGAAAAATTTATTGGAACCTGCCAATGATAGAAAAAATTTTTTAAAAAAAGATTTAACTGGAAAAATTTATCCGGAGAATGATGATAACGTTAAAGTTAACGTTCCCGGAAATAAATTTTTGGAATCTATTAAATCTGGAAAAAGAGAAAACGTCAAAAGGGTAAGTAATAATTTTTCTTTTTTTTTTGTTTTTTCGATTTTGAAAACAAACGACTCCATTTCCAAAACAATTTTTTTTTTTTTTTTCTCCAGAAAATAAATTCGAACGTCAAACAATTAACGACGACTAATAATTTACTTACTGGAAAAATAAAACCTGATAAGTTATCAAATAATTTGTTGGATCCGAATTTAGAACTCACACTCGATTTGGAAAAACTTGATAAAAAAATTAACGACATTAAAAAATTATTGAAATTAAACGATACGGATACCGCTCCCACGAATGATGAAGACGGGATAAGAGTGAGAAGGAAAACGGAAGCGGATAGAGCTGCTAATAGGATAGCTAAAATGTTTTTGACTTTATCTGCAATGAACGGTTACAACGATAGGAGAAGAACGAGATGCAAGGATGATTATTACGATAATGGATGGAATGATGGTGATAACGATGGCGTTGATAAAACTCAAATCGTCGCGAAGAAAACCCCGAGTTCGAACGAAGAAAGATACAAAATTAAAAAATGGATAGAAGAATTGAAAAGCAGAAGATCCAACAGATACTGTCCTTGCAATCAATATAATAAAAACGATGAAGATGTTTTCCCCCTGGAAAGCAGACTGGCTCGAGGTAACAAAATAAAAATTTTCCCCATTAAACAAACGAAGAGAGAGACACCCATTAGATTCTCTTATTTGTCCTTTTCAGATTATTACATGAACGGTAGAGGAGGAGAAGACGAAAGTAGTAGCGAAGATTCGACAAACGATGCGACGAATCTATTGAGGCCATTGATTGTAAAACATGGTTATTTTCCTAAGGGAAAAAATTACAAAGATGGATACTATAATAAATTGAGGATGGTACCCCCGAAAACGAGTGCCGTCGACGAAACGTTGAGAGCTTTAAGAGCCAGAGGTAGAAGAAAACTCGAACTTCCGATTGAAGATTTAGAACTTTATCGTACGAGAGCGAAAAAAATTTTACAAAACGCCGAAGATATTTTAGAAAAAATCAAAATGGAAGAAGAAAAAAGAAATTCCGACGTGGCGGGATATTTCGGAACCCCGATTAAAGAATTGATGTCGAGAATACAATCGAATCCTAGGAATAATGATAATAACGAATTCATACGAATATTGAAAAAAAATCTCGGATGGGCTCCATTTCAAAAAGACAATAATAACGATCACGACGACGACGACGACGACAAATTTTCCGACAGCATCAAATCATATTTTCTAGATCCCTATGAAAAAGCTCGTCAGTTAACCGAAGAAAGTGCTAAAAGATTATCTACTTTCCTTTTGCAAAATTTATCTAAATTGGGTAAAAAAGATGAGGACGTAACAATAAGTGATAAGGCAGGAATCGAGGAATCGTTGAAAGCTTTGCAGGGTCAAGTCCCCCAGAATAAAGAATCCATTCAATCTGACGATTTGAAAAAAGAAATCGTGGAAGATGACCGTGGTCCCCCCACCGACAGCGATTTACAAACGAGAGAAAACGAACAAACGAATTCATCAGGGTATGGAAATTACAAACCTTTCGGTAATCAATTACTCACGGGCCCTTTGAAAAAAATCGTCGAAGACATAATCAAAGAACAACAAGCTCAAATGACGGAATTTTCCGATAAAATCAACAGGGAAAAAGAAGAATTTTCGAAAGATTTTAACGACGACGACGAATCGGATTTGAATATGAAAAAATTACAAGAGATCCTTGCAGACAACAAGGCAAAAGAAGAAGAAGAAGAAGAAGAAATTAAAAATGTGGATGCTGCGGCGATTGAAAATGATAAAATGGTCCAGGACACGAATTCTGATAATTTAGAAAAAGAAACTTTGGAAAATCAAAATTTACAAGAACCACGTGATGATACGTCAACGAACGTTTTAAAAGAGTCGGAAAATAATAACGGACCAGAAAAATTAACATCAATGGATGATGATGATGAGGAAAAATTAAAAGAAAAAATGGTCGAAAGTCAAAATTTATCCAATGAATTCGTCGACGGTGGTGAAAAAAACGAAGAAGAATTGAAAAAAGACGAAGATGAGGAAAAAGTCGAAGAAGATGACAAAGAAGACAAATTAAAACAAGTTATGGAAAAATTTAATGATGATAATGATGATTTGTTAAGTAAAAACGAAGAAAAAATTTTGGAAAATTTAAAAAATCAAGAAGGTGGCGATGATGATGATGATGCCGCAACGGTAAAAGAAATCGTGAAGGAAATTATCAAAAGCGATGAACAAGAATTCGAAAACGATAAAACAAATTTGAAAGAAGAGGAAAAAGAAAATTTTACACCGGCCGGAAGTGATAATCTAGAATTGAAACGAGAAAAAATCGATGAAAATTCGAATGAAAAGGAAATTAACGGAGAGAATAAAGAGGATTCGAATGAAAAGGAAATTGACGGAGAGGATAAAGAGGATTCGAATGAAAAGGAAATTGACGGAGAGGATAAAGAGGATTCGAATGAAAATTTACAAAAAACAAACGAGAACCCTGATGAAGTACAGGAAGAAGTTGTTGTTTCAAACGATACACCAACGGAAAACGAAGAAAATTTACAAAAAACAATAGAAGATGATGGTGAAACGACAAACGCGGAAGATCAAAACGTACAACAAATGAGAGAGGAATCAAGTGAAAACAATAAAAACGATGCGGAGGAAGAAAATTCTAAAAAAGCAGAAGAAGAAGAAGAAGCAACAGGAAACGTTTCGAATGATGAAAACGTACAACAAACGAACGAAAACGTCGAAGAAAAAGAAACGATTACGAAAGATGAAATCAACGATGATTTACAAGGGGATGAAAATTTACAAAAAATAAAAGAAGAATCGAATGAAAAAGAGGAAAACAATATGGAAGAACAAGTCCAAGAAATTCTCGAAGAATTAAACGAAAAAGAAATGAAAGAAGAGGATAAAACGTTAAATTCACCTTCGGAATCAAGTTCGGAATATGAAAATCTCCAGGAAACAAAGGAAGAAAACCCAAAAACCGAATCTATCCGAATCGAAACGGAAAGTAACGAAGAATCCAATGATGAAAATGACGATGCGAACGAATCAAAAAATGAAAAAGTGCAAAAATTTTTTGACGATGAAATAAAAGAAGAATTAAAAGAAATAAATGATGCCGCCGCGGACAATGAAAACGCAGATTTAAAAAACGATTCTTCCGAAATGGATAATTTAAAAAGCGTTTTGAAAAAAGAAAAAGAAGAAGAGGAAAAAGAAGATGGGGAAAAAACCCAACAGGAAACGATTAACGATGAAGGAAATGATGATGATGATGATAATTTAAATAAATCAACAGATGCAGAAAACGTAACCGGGATGAAAGACAAAACAATAATAGACGAAGATGTTAAAGAAACGGAAAAAATTATAAATTCTCAAGAAGAAAATGAAATGGAAAACGTTGGGAAAATAAACAAAACGGATGATGAAAATGACGAAATGAATAATAATGATAATGAAAATTCAAATATGGAAAACGAACGAGTCGAAAATTCAAATATTGACAAAGAAATAACCGAATCTAATTTAAATGAAAATAATGATGAGATGACGGAAGCAGAAGAAAAAATTTTAAATTTTGTCGGAAAAGAGGAAAATTCCCGAGAAGGAAACGATGATGACGTTGGTTTGACGAATGGGGAAAAACTAATTGGTACAAATGACGACGAATTTCAATCCGACGACAGTAACGAAGAGAAAGTTGCGAATCCTTCCGAGAAAAGTTCGGAAGTAGGGAAACCGGAAACTCTCGAGGAAAATAAAAGACAACCAATAAAAAACGAAGAGTCCGATGAAGAAAGTGATTTGGCGAGTACTCAAAACAAAGAAATAGATAATGAACCGGAAACGAACCTCGACGGAAACTCAAACGAACAAGATGAAAACGTTGAAAAACCAAACGTGAAAAGTGAAGAAGAAAAAGAAGCAGAAGAAAATGTTGAAAAAACTTCGTCTCTAGTGGATTCAGATGATAAAATCCTCTCGTCGGAAAATTTTATCGCGGGAGATGATGAAAAAGAATCTTTAGAAAAATTACAAAGTAATCAAAATGAAAGAGAAAAAGATGAACAAGAGGTAAACGACAACGATTTGACATCTGAATCATCGGCAGAAGAAAGGATTGGACAACAGGAAGACGTAAATAAATCCGTGTCAGACGAAGAAGGTAAATTAAATGAATTATACGACAATTTCTATTGGCCGTCATCTGAACAATCGAAAGATTGGCTTTCGGAGGATTTGTCTAAAAAAAATAATTTAGGAAAAAAAATCCCAGAAGAAGCTAATTTAAAATTAGAAGAAGAAGAACAACTTCAAAGCGGTCGTAAAATATCATTATCGAGTCATGAAGAAAACATTTCGGATGACGTTTTGCAAGACCCTAACAAATCCGACATCCAAGAAACTCAATCTTATCCATCGGTAGGAGACGAAACATTAAAAACCGAAAAATTAGATGTTCTTAACGATGTTGCAAGTGAAGAACAACAACAAGGAATGGATGATGACGATACCTACGATGTGAAAGAAAAAAACGAATTCGAAGAACCGAACGTCGGATCTGAATCAATCGTGAATCCACACGATGATAAGTTTGTCATCGATAATGACTCGAACGAGTTCGATATTTCTTCAAAAGAAAAAATCAGTGCGGAAAACATCATGCGAGAAAAACCGTTGAAGAAACCATATAACGAACGAATTTGGGACAGGCACGGATACAGAGGAGAACCATTATCTTATTATGACGACTTACCGGAAGCAGAACCCTACGAAGTCCCGAAAAGTACCGAAGACAACGTTCCTCCGTTTCTTTTTAAAAAAACTAAAACTCTTTCGTCCGGTGAATCTTCTTTAAACGACGACAATTTATTAAAATTCGATCCGGCAAAACCTAAAACGAGACAAATAATTATACCCAAAGCCATTGAAAAAATAATAAAAGATTTAAACGATAATAAAAACGACGGGAATGACGACATCGATTCGATTCAAAATCTCGATACCGAATCGATCGATAAATACATTGATAAAATTGATAAAGCCGAATACGAGAACAGTAATTTAAATGACGATACCGATTGTAAAAAGGAATGCAGTTGCGTCGAAGAAGTAGACATGAGGTCTAGAAAAATTGGAAGGTACGAAATCGTCAAAGATTTTCTTCATTGGGTCAAAGACCTTCGAATGAATCGGGTATTGAGCGACGATTAGGTTTTCTACCTTCTTTCGAATCCTCTTGAGTACAAAGTCCAAAATGTCCGTTAACGAGAGACTTAACGACTAAAAATATTATTAATAATTTATTTATTTAACTTATGTTAATTATATTTATTTCTCCTATTTATATTTTATATTATTATTATTACTAATACTATTAATTGAATCATTTATAATAAAAATAAAAACATAATTTTAATTTTTTTATTATTTATCTTAGCCATCTTTTTTTTTTTTAAATAGTTTGTAAGAATAAAAAAAAAAAGATTTAATGAGAGTTTATAGAATTTTCAGTATAAAAATACCTGGAATCGTTTGTTATGTATTCTTTCGAAACATCCATCATTGCTTTTAAAAATGTTTTAAGATCTGGAATCGGATGATTAGCAAATTTAGCTGAAGCTAAAAATGGAATTTTCCTTACTGCTCTACCGCTTAAACCTGTGCATATTTGAGCAACATCTTTTAAAAAATTACTATTATTTAATACTTTTGTCATGGCGTTACCGTCGTATTCATTCTCTTCGACGGACATGCTTATTTTACTGTATATATCAACTGTGAAAAAATCACTTTTTGAACCATTTATTAATTTACAATCGATTAATTCATCTATGCATGATGATAATATTTTATAAATTGCCCACATTGATGGATGAGCAAGCAAAAGTTTTAAATCTGCTCTGTCTGAGAATGCAATGTCTATTGTGTTGGTCACATTCGATGTTGCTAATATTAATACATTTGGATACCTTTGAAGTTGATCGATTTGTGTTAAAACTGCATTAACAACTCTTATCGAATCAGATGGTTCCAAACCGTTTGCCTTTCTTGCATGTGTTAAACTTTCTACTTCATCTATTAATATGCATACAAAATGATCCTTTGAATTAAGCCATTGTTTTACTGCTGTAAACATTTTTAAAACGAGTTTTGCACTTTCGGAAAACCATTTCGAAAATAAACTGTGTGCATTTATTTCAATTAATTGACAAGTCTTATATTTTGATTTTAACCTAATCGATAGCTTTTGAGCTAAACCTTTACATAATGTTGTTTTTCCTGAAATATCAATAAGTAAAATGTTAAATTTATAATTTTAAATTATAAAATAAAGAGAGAAAATATCAAAGGTAAAAAATTTACCAGTTCCTGGTGGTCCATGCAATAAAACCACACCATTCCAATGAACAATATTAGGATTTACATTCCTACTAGAATACTCCAAAATTGTTTGAACATAAGACATTAATTGTTTTTTTATACCCTCTTCCAAAACCAAACTTTCCCACAATCCTTCTAACGAAGCATTAGGTAGACACCAATTTAGTGAAGCAGGTACCTCATCATTTTCATCATCCAATGAATCCACTTCAGGAGAATTTTCCCACGCACGATAGAAATAATAATGTTTTTTGAGATTCTCATCGGAAAAATTAATTTTAATCCTGTGATCTGCATCACTGAACACCCTTACATATTCCACACATGACAACAAGTCATCAATTTTTAACAAGTCTTCGGTCATAATTACCTGTTTTTTAAGAGCATCATTTATTTTTTTTTCAAGTTCGTCAGAACTAACGTCATTTTTTTTATATTTTTGCCTCACTTCGATATAAAGATTTAAAATTTTATCATTCATTATTGAGTAAAATTTTTAACGTGCAAAATGGTAAAACTAAATTTTCAATTACCGCTTGAGTCTTAACGGCTTTTTATCAGGTTGGTAAACTTATGAAAATTAAATATCCCGCATATATATTATGGAGTCGTAAATTTAGCAGACTACATAATTTCGAATACAACAAAACAAATGTTTACTAATTTTAATAATTTTTCTAAATAACAATTGTCAAAACTAAAAAAAATTAACAGAGAATTTTTAAATTATTTAAAATGGGTCTGTTTGGAAGAACGCAGGAAAAAAGTCCAAAAGATATGGTAAATATTTAGGTCATGGTTTTTGGTTAGCAAATCGAATTTATTATTAATGAACGTATACGTTGTATACGTCAAATATTTCATACGATTATGTTTTTTTTTTTTTATAGGTCACAGAATGGACTCAAAAATTAAGAAAGGAAGGTTATTCTTTAGACAGACAAGTTCGGGGTAATTATTATTTTGAATTTTAAATTACTTTATCTAATTATTTTAATTGTATTGATTATTGTTACGGTCAACTTAGCCTTCAAAAACCGTGGTCATGGGCGTTTCGATAACAAACCCAAATGAAAAACATTATTTTTATTATACATTAGAATCTGTAATTATAAGCAAAATTATTATTAGTTCATTATTATTATTATTATCATTGAAAATACATTTAAAAAATGGCCAATATTGCATTATTTAAATAGTTTCAATTACATTGATTGACACAAACATATTTTAAATTAAGTATTAGTTACTCATATTTGTTTTTACTCCAGGTATACAGAGAGAAGAAGAAAAAATTAAAAGGTCATTAAAGGATGCTGCTAAAAAAGGTGACAAAGATGTATGTGTAATTTTAGCTAAAGAAGTCATAAGAGCGAGAAAAGCGATTGGAAAAATCCAAACGACAAAAGCCCACATAAATTCTGTTCAGCTTCAAATGAAAAATCAATTAGGTAATTAAGATTATCAATTAATAAAAATATAAGGTTTTTAAATTGATTTGTGCAACAATTGATCGACAACCTATATTATTTATTTAATGCTTATTATCTATCCATAATATAAAAAAGCTCATTTGAAGATATCTGGCAATATGCAATTATCGACAGAATTAATGAAAACAATGATATACTTAACACAAATCCCTGAAATAGCTCAAGTTGCACGAGAAATGTCAAAAGAAATGACAAAGGTAATGAATGATATATATGTATATATTATAAAATTATTTTTAAATGAAAAAGGAATTGTTAAATTGAATCGATATATATATATATATATATATATGTATATGTATCCACTGCCACAGACTTACCTTGATTAATAACATTTTGGTAAAAATAATTGTATTAAGAAGTAATAGTATGATTGTTTGTAGCCACTCTGAGAGTAGCAGGTTCTCTTTCAAAGTCAACTGAGGTTATGAATGCCATGCAAAATCTACTTAAACTCTCAGATGTCTCAGATACAATGAGGGAATTGTCGAGAGAAATGATGAAGGTAAAAAAAAAATTATTTTTAATTTCCTTTTTTCAAATGAAAAACCAATAATTATAACCCGATTAATTTGGAATGAAATGGTTGTAAGTAAGTAAGTAAATAAAATTCTATTATATTAATTATAAGCATCGAAAAGAATTAATCAGTAATAATGATAATAATAAACTTATCGATAAAAAATTTTTTTACTGTTTTTTTTATAAATTTACACTCGAGGGGAAAAAATATTCGACACCATCATCATCATCATCATTATTATTATTATTATTATTAAATTAATAATTTTTATTTACCTAAGTAAATTTTAAGTTAAATTCCATTGGGGTAAACGTTGATTTAACGTTTTATTTTAAAATTTAAATTTTTCTCTAACTTGGAAAAATAAATTAATTTGGAAAAAAGTTTTAACAAACATTTTTAAGCACACTCGACGTCGTGACGTAATTAAATAATATTTATTTTATTCATAAAGAAATAATAATAATAATAATAATGATGATGATTTTTTTTCGGTTTTTTTAAAGGCTGGAATCATAGAAGAAATGTTAGAGGAAACATTCGAAGGTATGGAAGATCAAGATGAAATGGAAGAAGAAGCACAAGAACAAGTGGATAAGGTACGAAAGAATGATTTTTTGCAACAAAAGCAAAAAATGGAGATTTCATTTGTTTTATTATTATTTTTTTGTTTTAGATCCTGTGGGAAGTGACGCAGGGAACGTTGGGAAAAGCTCCTGCGGCCGTTACCGATACTTTACCATCCGCAGAACCCGCTGCGAGTACGTCGTACGAAGAAAACGAAGAGGAATTGGACGATATGAGAAGTAGATTGGCAGCACTGAGAAGTTAGGCGGTTAATTATATGTAAACAAATAAAATGGCGACCGTCGTTATGATTTTCGTGTACAAAAAAAAAGATTTATTACGCTTACGCTAACGTCGGAGGGAAAACGAAACAAAAAAAAAAAAACTTTTTCGCATGCATTAAATAAAATTTTCTTTTTTTTTTTTTTTAATATTAATAATGCAAATAAAAATGCTTTCCTAATAATAATAATAATAATAATCACAAATGTTTGATTAAATTTAAAGAAATTGAAGAGATAGAAAAAAAAATTTTTTTTTTTACTATATAAAATGCTTTAAAAACAAAAAAATATATATTAATATCAGTATATTTTTCACGCGAGTATTAATAATAATAATAATAATAATAATAATAATAATAATAATAATAATAATAAAGATTTTTTTTTTGTTTGTTTGTTATTCGATTAATAAAATTTATTATTTTGTTTATTTCCACTATTTTTTTTTTTTTTTAAATTATATTTTATATATATTTGTGTACGAATAAATAAATATTATTATTATTTTTTGTTTTCAAATTTTGTTTTAATTTTTTATTAAAAAACAATTATTATTATTATTATCATTACTGTTGTTGTTTGTCGAGGTTGTTAAGGTTGTTGCGGTTGTTGTTCGTATCAACCAGTTCGTATCACAAACGCCACGTTAGAAAAAGGGAGTAATAATGAAGTTGTTGGATAAGGTAAAAGTGAGAGAGAGATAGAAAAGTTATGACGTCATTAATGTAATTAATAATTAATGAGAATTTAATTACGATTAAAAAAAAATAGAGAGGGGAGGAAGGAAGGAAGGAGGGAAAATCATTTATTACCTCGTAAGTGAAAACATTTCAACGATTTTATTTTTTATTTTTTTTTAAATTTAATTTTCTAATCGATTAATCGATCGATCGATTCAATCGATTTGATTTTTAATTTTTTCGCTTTTGATTACTTAAGTAAAAAAAAAAAATTCTACGAAAAAAAAAATACGATTAGAAAATAAAATAAAATTATTTAAATAAAAAATTTATCAAATTTAAAATTTTCCCGCCTTTTTTTAACCCTCCCCATCCCTTATTTCCTCATTTCCCTTATTCCATCATTCATTTAAAAAAAATTTTTTTTTTAGAAATGAAAAAATATTTATATATATATATATATATCCGAACAAATAGTTTTCCATCTTTGAGTACCTTTGGGACGAAGCTCGGCAATAAATTTTTCAACAAACCGGAAATTTGGTTAATTCCAACAGCGAAACAAATGAGAATGTCAGAATGTTTCAAAACTTCGCATTGTTAAACCCACCACCACCTTAAAAACAACCCACCACCGACTTTCTTTTTAATTCTCTATTGTTCTCTTCCTTCCATTTTTTTTCCTTTTATTTTCTTTTCTTTTCTTTTCTTTTTCTCGGTTTATTAATGAGAGAGAGAGAGAGAGAGAGAGAGAGAGAGAGAGAGAGAGAAAGAAGGGAAAAGGGTTAGGGAAGGGAAGGGAGCTTATTGTAAAATTTCGAGTAAAAAATCAACCGTTAGGCAAAACGGAAGAAAAAAAAAATTGAAAACCGGAAGAAAGGGAAACAAAAACCGGAAGGGAGAAATTGAAAAACCATCACCTCATAGTTTTGTTAATTACTTCCGGTCGAATTCCGGAAGGACGTCAATCAAGAAACTATTTGACCGATTTTATGTTTTTTGGTCTATTTCCGTTTCCCATCATTTCGTTCGCGTTAATTTTTACGCTTTTTACTTTTCCAATAATAATAATAATAATAATAATAAAATTCTAAGCCGGGAAATGGGATGGGATGAGTAATAATAATAATAATAATTTTATTTTATTTTTTTTTTACTATAAAATAATTTTTCATTTTCTGCTTCTCTCATCCCCCCATCTCTCTCTTTCTATCGGTATCTCATACTCTCTTTCTCTTTTTCTCTCCCTCACTCCAACCCTCTCTCTCTCTCTCTCTCTCTCTTTATCTTTTATCTATACATTATTTTAAAAAATACGTTTTGCTCTTATTTTCTTGTTTCTCTGATAATCTTTTGAAATATTTTTTTCTTAACCGGTTTATTATTATTCTTGACTTTTTCTTTTTTCTTCTGCTTTTCTCTCATATTCTCTCTCTCTTTTTTTTTCATTTCCAATTCGTATTCATCCATCTCTTTCTTTCATATTATTTTTATTTATATCTAATCCTTGGAATACAATTCAAATTCGTTTTTTCTTTTTTCATCCATCACCGAATTTTAATCGTACTTATTATTATTATTATCATTACCTACCCCTTTTTGTTCCAAAAGGGTGATATTTAATATTAATTATTATTATTATTATCATTGCATTTTCTACGGTATTTTTTTTTTTTTTAAATTAAATTTTTTATTTATATTCAAAACCATGAATTTATCGTAAAACTTTTCTTTTTTTTTTTTGTGATGAAATTTTTAACGTGGAAGAAGATTGCGTGATTGATTGTTGGTACGCGTGCGTTTACGTTCATTTATGACGTCATATCGAATGAATTTTAAAAACTTTTATAATAATTATTTGGTTGTTATTTGTTTGAAAACGAAAAAAATGTTTTAAATCGTGCTTTATCGTTTAAAGGAAAAAAAAAATTTTTTTTCTTATTAAAAAATCGAACGGGGAAAAAATTTTTAAAAAGGCGTTCAACCGTTCAACGTAATTATTATCATAACACGAGGTTATTTTTTGGGGGGGTGGGGGGGGGGAAGAAACAAGGAATGAAATAAAATTAATGCGAAAGTTTAAAGTTTTTTTTTTCGTACGTTTTTCGATAATTCGATATATACATTTATTGCCACGATAGTTTTATTTATATATGAGAGAGAGTGTGTGCGCGTGCAAGTTAGCTGTAATAACGTTAAACTGGTAAAATAATTTTCGAAATCCCCTCCCCCCAAACCCTCTTTTTTCCCCATTTTTCCCATGCAAAAACCACACACGAAAATTCGAAAATTCGAAATTTCTAACAATTTTTGACTTACTCCCGGTAAATTTTTTATTTTTTCTTAATAATAATAATAATAATAATAATAATAATAATAACGTCGAAATGGATTCTTTCGATGGTTCAAAGGTCAAAGGAAAAGAGAGAGAGGAGGGGGATGGGAAGAGAAAATGGGCGGTAGGATGAAAAAAACCGTTTAAACTATGACAGAAGAGAAAGAAAGAGTCTAGAATAGACTTTGAGAAGGTTTATAAAAAACACATTTCCGTCGACAAAAAAGAAAAAAAAAAAGAGGGAAAAAAACAATAATAATAATAATAATAAATAAAGGAGAAAAAAAAAGGGAAAAGATTAGATTTGATGACAAAGTTCCAGAACGAGAGATGTGAGAAGATGACGTCGACAACGAAGACGACGACGTCTTAAAAATTTCCTTTACGGGATATCAAAGAAAGAGAGAAAGAGAGAGAGAGAGAGATAGAGTAAGTAATTCTTTCTATGTATCTTTTTCCCTCCCCTACCGTCACCCATACGCCATTTCCGCCGCCATTTTCTTTCTGGTTTTTTTTTAAACCCGCCGTTTTTTTTTTTTTTTTTGTTCATTACACTTTACAATGATGCTGTTTTATTTTATCTCGATGCCTTTTTTCCCCCTCCCCTCCCTCGCCTTTTAAACTGTTTTCCATCGTCTTTTAATGGCGTACCCTTTCCTGTTAAATCCTTTCCCGTTTCCCATTTTTTTTAATTTTATTTTTTACTGCACTTTCTTCCTTCTCTCATACCCGCCACGTCGAACACTCGATTTCACGCTTTTGGTATATACAAAAAAAAAAATTAATAAAGTACATAATTAAATAAAACGTAATAATAAAGTGTCATTAGTGTTATAATAATGATGATAATGATGATAATAATAATAATAATAATAATACAATAGCAGATTGCTCTTAAACGTTGAAAAAAATCGTTTTTTTTTTTTTTTTTTTTTTTTTTTTCAACGATGAGGGAAAACGACGGGATAGAATACGAAAGGATAGGAAAAAAGTAATGGGAGGAGGAGGAGAAGGGGGGTGGAACGGGAGAAAAAAAAAGCAGAAGAAAGAAAATGAAGGAGGTGACGTCATTCATTTAATTTTTAAACTCAAAGCGTGTATAAGTGCTCGAGGAAATTTTGTCGCAAAAATGCTCATCGGCTTTTTTTTTTTTTTTTTTATTTTATATTGAAAATTTTTTTAAAAAATTTTAATATAGCGGCAACAGCGAAAAAAAAATGGCGGAGAAGAAGAAAAAGAAGAATAAGGGGATTTTTTTAAAAAAAATAAATGATGAAATGTTTGTTAAGAATTGAAACAATTACGATTATGTTGCCTGTTGTTGTTGTTGTATGTATAGGAAGAGAAAGAGAGAAAGAGAGGGGGGAGAGAGAGAGAGAGATTGAATTTAACCCCCCTTTTTTTTTTGGTAATTTAATGGGATAAATCAATCAATCATTTCCGGTTAGTAAAATGACTACACGTTAAATAATTTCAAACTTTTGATTTTTTTATAAACAATTTTTTAAAATCCCGAAAAAAAAAAAAACATCACCAGATGTCTTCTTATCCCGAACCAAAACTATTCCGGATAAAAGGGAAAAAAACGAAGTATTAAAGATTTAGGGAATACCCAAGGGGGATTTCTGGGGATTCAAAAACAAGACAAAAATTTTTATTTTTTTATTTTTTGTCAGAAAGTAAGATTTCCTTTAGATTTTTCTTTTTTTTTCATTTCCTTTATTATCATCATCATCATCGGAAAAAATATATATTTTGCTGTCGTTTCCCCCCCATCCCTCACTCCCCCCACTCCCCTCCCGGTTCGAACGCATTCCTGTTGGATTTTTTCATCGAATGTTATCGAAAATAGAAAAGAAAATAAAAAGTCACATAAAAAACAAAGAAATTGTTTAATTTTTAACCCATAGTTTAAAAGTAATTGGGGGTGTTCGTATATATATATATATATATATATATATATATA